AAAAAGCCTTTTGTGTACTAATATGATTTATTTCTTAAATAAATAAGCAAAAGGTTTGCACAAAGAAATCTTACCTTTATTTTTTCATTTAAATATTCTCTCGGGTGAGGTTCATTCGCTTCAAACTTAGATTAAAAGCTATAAGAACGGCACGCCGCGGCGTCGAGACGTACTAGATTACTTTTCTAGCGACTGAATTTTATCCAAAGTCACTTCGCTTCTTTTTAAGAAAGTATGGAATTCAAAAGAATTTTTCTTTAAAAATTTGACAAATTCGTGATATTAAAACAAGTTGTATCAGCAGTTTTATTTTTCATCATTCATCACGGAAAAACTGCTGGATATACGAGTACATACTTCAATTAATTCTTCAAATCTTTTATTACTTAGACACTTGGTTCTTGTCTAAAAAAACCGGCTGAGTGCAAGTGGGACTCGCGCACGAAGGGTTACGCACTATTATCAATAAAAACGGCTCTGACTTCTGTACGTGTGTTTGTGACTGAACTCCTCCTAAAAGGCTGAACCGATTTTAATGAAATTTTTTTCGTGTTGACACTACAACTTTTATTTTTTTTTTATTTATTAGTTCTCGGACTTAAGTCGTATATATAGACAAAAACCCTATTACTACCAACAGGTGGGTGAAGATAATCATAATTATTAACAAACAATACCAGCAGCATGTTAAAAAATACTACTATACTATACTATGATTTTTATGCGCAGTTAACAAAAAAAAGTAAGGGTGAATTCCTCTTATTTATGTTACTAAAGGTACCATGATATCTTCGTTATGATTCATTTTGTATACTAGTAATTTGTAATTCAAGAATTAAAAACATTATGTTACTAACGCCCGGTTTCTGAAACACTGATTATCGTAGATATTAAGTAATCAGGTGTCAAATGGCTTATCAAATGTCATTTGAGTTGTCAAAAGGATGGTTAAACTCTTTGAATTGATCAGAATGATCTTCTTAATAATCAGAATGATGATCAGTGTTTCAGAAACCGGGCGTAACTCTTGAATTCGTAAAAATATTTATAATTGAACTAAAACTCTTTGATGTGGGTTACAGACTTAACCAAAAAGGGTAGTAGCGAATTCTGATACATCGTTTCAGTTACTTCAATACCTAACTTTTACCATTCACCCAACAATTAACAAGAAATTATAAAAAAATTAAAACCCAAATCCGCCCCGGGCCCAGAAAATATTAGTAATAAAATCCTTAAAGCTCTCCGTGGGCCGCTTATCTGTTTACTGGCGACCATTTGCAATACACTGCTCTCCAGTTGCTCCTTTCCGAAGAAGCCACGTTAGCGGCATTCACAAGCCCCACTAATCAGCCCTCAAGTTATCGTCCCATCAGCCTCTTCAGTTACCTTACCAGTTAGCTCTACGAGCGGCTATTATTAAACAGGCTCAAAGAGCACATATTTTCGAACGGCCTTCTGCCGGTTGAACAATTCGGCTTTTGAGCTAGACATTCCTATCCCGATCAATTATACCGCCTAACGGAACATATACTGCAAGGCTTATATATTCCGAAACACGGGAGCATGGGAGCTCATTTCTTCGATATCGCAAAAGCATTCTTCAAAGTCTAGCAAAACGGCTTGCTTTACAAGCTGTTCACACTCAAAGTGCCAGAGAGGCTTGTACACAACATCCGGGCCTTTCTGTCGAACCGCTTCTTTCGATATCGAGTTGAAGGCACCCTCTCCAAAAGCTGCCGCCTCACGGCTGGCGTTCCACAAGGCTCCTGCCTCTCACTCTTACTCTTTACGCTCTACACGAGCGACATACCCAAAGACCCCCCACATCAATCTCGCGCTTTTCGCGGTTAACACGGCGCTCTTTTACACAGATAAAATCTCAATCTGGTTCCGCAAAGGGAGAAGAGAAGTAAATCCCGTAAAGAGTGTGGCAATTTACTTAACACGAAGTACTTACCCGTTACATCTTTATAAAGTCCCTCGCCAATGCAGAAAGTTGGAGTAAATATCCCTTTATGGCCAACCGCTCCCCTGGGAGAAAAAGGTAAAATACTTAGGGAGTCTCTTTCGACTCGGGTATGTTATTTAGTATGCACATTAATAACGTTCAATATAGAGCCGAGTTCGTCTCCGGACGGCTACACAAATTAACTAACGCTAAAAGTAAAATGCCCTTATGACTCAAATTACTGTAATATAAAGCTTGCGTACGGCCTATGTCCTACGCATGCATGATCTTCGATCACACAAACCATATTCGCATTAACAAGTTGCAAGTAGTTCAAAATAAATTTATCCGCCGCGCAACCGGTACGCAGTGGTACCAGCGCAAAGTCGACCTGCACAGCAATTGCAGACTCCCGACGATTGGCGCACATTTTAAAGATCTGTCCAAACGGTTCTTCGATAGAGCCCAGCATCATCCCAACCCTCTGGTGGTAAGCGCAGCAAATTACCAATCCGACACAAACGCGAACATCAACAAGCGTCGCCCACGAGACATCTTCATCGACCCGGTCGAGGAAGGGGACTAAGATACGTCACAAAAATCAGCATCAGTTAATACAAGACAACTATTAAAGGACTCTCTGGTCTGCCTAACGTAGGGCTATTCCTTAACACTGACTAATAAAATCATAGTAAATTTAGTTATTCTATGCGCACCTTTAAAACATATTAGCATCCTTGTATCTAACAAGTTCTTACAAGCTAATGAATAATAATATCGATTGTCCTCCGATGTTGAGCAATTTTCAATATAATGTTTCTCGTAAGATCCCACGAACACCACCATGTGACCTATAGACATACATTTCGATTCGGTTCATACATACATCATACATTCGGATTTCGGTTTTTGTTTATTATCCCATCGCACTTTTTGTTATCCTTCCTATAGCATGATTACATGTAATTGTAAGAACAGTTGCGTAGATTCTGGGCATTTTATTTTTAGATTGTAGATGCTGTATCTTATGTTGGTAATCCTATGAATAAATAAATAAATAAATAAAGAAACAACTAATTTGTCCTGTTCTAACAAATATGGTGCTTTCCTTGAAGTGTAGAACTTATGATAATACAGTGATGCTATCTTAATATATTCTATTTCATGAACATTTTCCATAAATTGAAACTGCTCTGTATCTATCCTGAAGTCTCGAATATTAGGTTCAAAATGAGTCACAGATCCGACACAGAGCGATCCGACTCGGATAGCTTAGGTTAGAAGGTTAAGGCGGGAGCTTTCGCTCCCGCCTTAGCCTTCGTTGTTAGGTTCTTTTTTATGACCACCCAGAAAACTTTAGTGTAACAGTACTTTTAGTATTTTTAAAGACTCTTTTTTAATAATTCAAAGGTTATAATTTGGAAAAGTGAGTGAATTCGTAAATTTATACATGTTAAAACATGTAGAAAAAGTACGAAAAGATTGTCGCCGCTGTGGGAATCGAACCCACGTCTTCGGCCGAAGACGTGGGTTCGATTCCCACAGCGGCGACAATCTTTTCGTACTTTTTCTACATGTTTTAATGTTCAATCTTAAGTGCAGAGATTAGCACTATAAAAACTTTAAAATTTATACATGTTGTCAAACACAAAATGGCGGATTTATTTAGTGAAAATAACAAGTTTTAAATATTTTTTTTTTTATTAAAAGTAAGTGTTTGCCTTGGTTTTCATGTATGTAATATTTAATTATTAACATTTCTCTATCGATTAAAATTTTTTTTCTAGCTTGAAAAACGAGACATACTGTTCGGAATTTTTACCGTTTTATTTAGCTCCACCCGTACGGAATTTGTTTGTTTGGGTCAAAATTAGAAATTGAAATTTAAGCACCTTGCCGTTGTCAGATTGATCTGAAATTTGGTACACACATTTAATTTAGATGACAATACAATATTAACAAAAAAAATTTAACAAAAAAAAAACATAAAACAAAACCGTTTAACTTAAAAGTTTTTAAACGGTTTTATTTACTTCACGAACTGTCCGATTTATTTTTTTCATAAGTCAAGACACTTATTGTCACTATGTCTATGTACTACTATGTCTACTTTTTTTTGTTAATGAGTTTCTATATGTATTAACGCCAACAATTCTCAATCACATTCGCCCTTTACAGTTCTCAATAAACAATGTAGAGGGCGCTTTAATATTTATATTTTAAATCCTTTTCCAGCCTTTTTGTTATTTTATTGTAATTAATTATTTACATGTAATTAAAAAATATGCTTTGAAGAAGTACAACTTCTCACGCGCGTACATAAGTACACGCACCCATTTTTTACGAAACTTCCATTAAAATAAGTCCAAGTAAAACAATTAAAACAAGTATCCTATAGTGAATGTACTGGTTATGACATGTATACTTAAATCTATCTTCAAAGTGTTATCGATATTGATACTATCCGTAAAGCCAATGATCACTTCACTATATGAATATCAAGAAATATTTTAACAATCAGTACTTGAGTATCGCGTTCCTTGACAAGGGAAAATACACTTTCAAGAATTAAGAATTAGGTTTCCTCTTGAGTGTCAAATCAAATTTTAGATTTTTGGTATAATTGTTTTATTTTGTAAAATACACTAAAATAGTGTAACTATATTTGCTTGTGATGTAAAACCGTTTCAGACATTTTTATCGGCTATTATTGCAATCATAAATTACACAACACGGCCTTATAACATAACATTTGTTTTAATAACTCATATTGCCTTCAGTTAGTGACACTTTCGCTTAACTGTGGTTGTCGGGTTACGCCCACATGGCACTTCCACTTGTTTTCTCTATTCCGTGGCATCTATAAACTCCTTAGTATTTTTATTGATTTTACTTTGAAATTGAAAATGTGGCAACATTGAAGGATGCGTCACCACTGCGCTTTTTACTAATTCTACTTGTCAAATCGTTCTCCGGCTACCTAGTTTTACGGAGGTAGTAATTTAATTTATTAATTCTTACTATATTCATATTAATATCCTGAGGAGCCATGGGTGACTCCCTTGACGGGAGCGACAGCGCTTCAGAGGCTCAAAATGTAGTTGTTGTTGAATTTCAAGATTTTGCGAACTACCTGCGTAGAGCTGCAACGGTACTTTTACCTGAAGATGACATCGTTCCACCTGCGCTGAACGCCGCATTAGATGAGAAAGTTAATCAGGATTGTATTAGAAAATTCATTTCTGATCCACAAGTACCTTCTTTGTACGTTCAGCGCTTCTCTTTAAAAGGTATATATTATATACTACATTATTTTTTCAAAAAATTATTTACTTATTTGTTTATCAAATTAATAGTACATTTCATTAATTTCATTAATTTTTCCTCGTTTTTTCTAACCAGAAGATGACAGTGAACAACCTACAGAAGGTGAAGAGGAGAAGGAGGCTGTTAATTATCAAATTAGCAATGAGGTATCATAATTTTTGCCTTTTCTTGTTTATCCTACTACACACTAATATTATTTCATCTTTTAATTATAAAGTTTATGATTCAGTAATAGTAGTATAATTGAATCATTTTTCAGGCAAAAAAATTGGTTTACATATATCTTAAATTTTTCTTAAAATAAGATTAAATTCACTAGTGATTGACAAATCAATTCATAGTCAGTTGCGACTCATAAATCTTTCTGATGGCTCACCTTATGAGACCCTTCATGCTTTCATTAGCAAAACAATGGCGCCTTTCTTTAAGAATCATCATATATCATTTTCGTTCATCAACAATTTTCGTTTATTTTTATTTAGAGATGGAGATAAGATGGCACCCTCTGTGGAGAAGAAGATAGCAGAGCTTGAAATGGGTCTGCTTCATCTGCAACAGAATATTGACATTCCAGAAATCACTCTTCCAGTCCATCCATTAGTTGCCGCTGTCATTAAGAGGTGAATAATACATTCTTTTCATTTTTATGTGTATTTAAGCCAAATGAACTACAGGCAAATATATTTTTATTTAGTAATATCCTGATTAATGAATTGTGTCAGTATAAGATGAATGATGTTTGTTCATAATTTCACCAAAGCTTTCTTTAGTCTTATAGCATTATAAGCACATTTATACATAATATATAACAACTAGATATACCAAATATTCGGCCGAATGATTCGGTCTGACAGGTTCATACAAGGTGGCAAGACACTATTTAGATCCTTGATTCTTGTAATGATAATTTAATTTAAAAAAAAAAGAAAAGAAGCTTCATATTCATGAACAAGTAAGTGTTCTATTCCTGACTAAAGTGTGCAACTCCATTTGTGTCTATGGCCTTCAACCCCCAGCACCTTGGATTCCAACTTGGGATTTAATTGTCATTGTTTAGGTCAATATGAGACAATTATATTCCTTTTGTGTGAACTTTAATTTTCAGCTTTGTACCTACTTTATTTTGCAAACATGCAACCTATGGTAAATAATGTTACTTACGTTTTTGAATCATCAGGAAAAATTTAACAGTTTTAATAACATATTTCAATTACGGCCGGTTTAAATATTCTATCTACAAATTGATTTGATTACTTGAGATAGAATTTTGACGTAAGTATTATGGAGCCAATGTCATATATCTATCACTAGTAATCAATCTATCTGTAGATAGATATTGAAATGGGCCATTACAGGTTTAAATATGTAAGTACCTGAGGGGCAGAGCTTTGCTTGGTTTGCTTTTTTTTTGTAAATCGTGTATTTTGGAAATAAAAAAAAATAAAAAATAAAGAACGCAATGATCTGGTGTAGAAAAAAAAGTTAAATAAAATTCGCCCCCAAATCTACGCACAAACTAAATTTCATGAAAATCGCTGGAGCCATTTCAGAGATTCCGATTATACACATATATACAAGTGTATGTATATTATATACATATATACAGTTCCGAATATATGTGTATACAAGAATTGCTAGTTTAAAGTCATTAGATAAATTATCAATATGAATAATTATTGATACTTTTACCACACCAAATGAGTAATATGAAGGAGCAATATGAAAGTATGCATTTGAATAAGAATCAACACTGACGATATCAGAGTCATCTCCGCTGCTTTTTAAAGATCTTTGTTTGTTTATGATGTCGTCCACATATTAAATCTGCCGCTTGATCAATTTAAACGTAAAATTAAAAGTAAACTTAAGTTAATTATTATACCATTGCGGAATATCTCGTCGACGCCAATATGTGGAGTTAATACTGTTGATACTCACATAGGCTAAAATAAGACTATTATACCTGTATGTTATATTGAAAACTAATAGTTTTGAAAAACAGCAACTGTTGAGTTTCTTGCCGGTCTCTTATCAAACAGAAACTGCTTTCCGAACCGGTGGTACCTTACGAATCAGATGAACCACCAGCTCGGTTGCCACCTTATACATGAAAAAAAAAAATACTAGTTTTTCGAAATCTAAAATGACATGAAGACGCCACAGCATTACGCGTGTGTCTAGTTTTATGGACCTACCTTGTCCTTAACAAATAAAGCAAATTTTAAGCAGCAAATACAAGAGATACGTCATAAGAAAAGTCACTCCAGACGTAATGTTTCCGCCCTATTGCAATATGCAATAATTTGTAGACGAGCATGGTGTCTCCATAAAATTTATAGTTTTACAGTTTTTGTCTACAGTCACATAGAGAACAGCAAGACCGTAAAAGATTTTTATATAAATCCTTTATATGGTCAGAACTGAAATTAAGTTTGTAAGCGAGTTCTTTTTTTCAATGACAAAATCACTAAAATTTATGCTTGTAAAGAAAACAAAGTGCTGGGGTAGTAAGAACGAAAAAAGACCACTGTAACCTAGAAGATCTATGGCTTCCCTTCGAAAGTATTGCCTGTTACTGTGGGATAACATTATCCCGTGCTGTAAGGACATTTACGTAAATAAATTTTGCGTGGAAATCAAGATCCGAAACAATTATCTGTGGGTCACAAAAATCGTTATTTCGTGTGGGAATTGAACCCACGACCGCCGACGCCGAAGCGTTCGCAATTGCAACCTTGGAAATGCGCCACGGAGTCATCAATTTTGTTTTTTTTGGCGCTAACTTGAATTATTATTATTTCCTTTACAGCATTGGTACAATGATGGCTGACGTCATTAATTTTTATGTGCGCCAAATTTGACAAACAATAGAGAATAAATCATAATCATAATAAGACGACTTGCTGCATATTCGGCTATTATAATTTTATATATATCTAAAAAATATTTTCTTGACTGTACTGTTGTCACTGAGAAAATTAGTGGGCATGCAATTTCAATGTCATTATTGTAAGTTTTTTTGGGAATAAACTTTAATATTGTTTTGGAGTATTGGGTCTGTGGTTCAAACAATGAGAGCTTAAGTTAGGCCTATATTGAATAAATATACTTTGACTTTGAAATGGGTTCGATTCCTACACGAAACAAGCGTGGGAATCGAATCCACCACCCCTGAAGCCAAAGCTATAATAGCTTAGCAACGGTGCTACCTAAACATCGTTCTCTCACGTTTACTAATTTAAATTTTAAAATACTTTCAAATAACATGCATTTTAATATTAATTTTAAAATCAGTTTAATAACAAAGAAATTTAATATGCCTCCATATTTGATTAACTTTATGTTAAAAACTTATAAACGTAATTGGCTTCCAGGGCTGCGGACGAAGGTCGAAAGCCTCGTGTGGCAGACTTTGGTGATAAAGTTGAGGATTCGACATTCCTAAATCAACTTCAGAATGGTGTGAACCGCTGGATTAAGGAAATCCAAAAGGTATTTTAAACTACAAAACTTTTCCAACAAATTGTAATATCTTTTTCTCAACTTGTTTTCTTTTTAAGGTTACAAAATTGGACCGCGACCCGTCTAACGGCACGGCGTTACAAGAAATATCGTTCTGGCTAAATCTTGAGCGCGCGCTTCATCGCATACAAGAAAAACGTGAAAGCATCGAGGTTAGTAATGAATTTCGACTTGAAAATAGATTTATTAGATGCCATTAAATATGAGTGTTAAGTATAAATAAGTATGTTGAGGTTGTTCATATCTACCCAACTTTAACTTTATTATAATTGGATGATGATGAAGATGTCAAACAAGATGGATTACTTGATGTCAAATAAACAAACTACTACGTTTGTATATCGACTAAGTTGCTGTGCCGGCCATATAGAGGGTGAGGCCGGCTAATTATGTAAAAGTACAGATACTTCTATTTTAGATCGGTCTTCTAGAGTTATAGAACGGCAAAAGCCTTTGCGAGGAAAAAAAAGCTCGAATGCAAAACAGTCCTTGCTGGATCACTATATCGTTATAAATTCGAAATAACATTTTTTTTTTTCTCTGTAAACAGGTCGCACTGACATTGGACATACTGAAGTACGGCAAGCGGTTCCACGCGACCGTATCGTTCGACACCGACACCGGGCTGAAGCAGGCGCTGGCTACCGTCTCCGACTACAACCCGCTGATGAAGGACTTCCCGATCAATGATCTACTCAGTGCTACGGAGCTCGAGAGAATCAGGTTAAACATTTTAAATCTGTCTGAGAAATGGCAAACGAGCTCGATTCACCTGATGTTAAGCGATAACCGCCGCCCATGGACGGACGTAGGTTGCAAATGCGTTGCCATCTTGAAATAAAGTGGGCTCCGGTTTCCTCATTCACCAGACGAAATAACGTAATAGCAGAAGTGTAATACTTCTATTTTGTGCAACAGTGAACACTGCCATACCACAGGTAAAAGTGAACAGCCTATGTGTTATGTCTCCCTACTGTGGACATTACATACATACTGTGGGCATTAGGGCAGAGATCACCACGCGAACCCTCTACGGATTGGCAGACTTCACATATTGTTGAACATATTTTTGTTATTCGAAAATATGCAGGTTTCCTCAATATATTTTCCTTCACCGCTGAGCACAAGTCACTTAAAATTAAAAACTTTATTGGGGCATGCAAAAGCGAGCGCCCGGGTACCGAGTTATCGTACCCGGGAACTGAGAATCACGTATAAAGAGGTTTTCATCCATTTGGCGAGACAGACTGCTGTCGCTACTATTTGTCTAGCTGTTACCTCTATTTGAGATTGACAAAGTGTTTAAATTGAATTAGAAACTGGGGAACTGAAATTAACCGTAACAAAGATGCACACATCTATTAACATTACATCTAATTAGTTTTAGGTTTGTTAACCCGTCTTAGATCTTATAAATTGGAATCGAGAGATTCAGATCACATAAAGCACCATTATTAATCCATAGATTGGCAGTGCAGCAGATTTTCTCCCATCTCCGCAAAATCCGCTCCACAAAGTACCCCATACAGCGAGGTCTAAGACTCGTCGAAGCGATATCTCGCGATCTGGGACAACAGCTACTTAAGGTAAGTAATTTAATAGACAAGAAACAAAAGTAATTAATTTGCGGTTTTTAACATAGCATTATTCACAACTTGATTTTTAACGATCAAAGTTACTAAGAGAAGTTTCTTCCTTTGAACAGGTCCTGGGTACCCGACGTCTCATGCACATACCGTTCGAAGATTTCGAACGTGTCATGATTCAATGTTTCGAGGTCTTCTCATGCTGGGACGATGAATACGAGAAGCTGCAAGGTCTTTTGAGGTGGGTATTATGTTTTTATTCCTCTTCTCACATGAAGTTTATAGCATGAAAAAGAAAAATGTTGTGATGTAGGTACATAAAACTTCTCACCTATGAATTTACGTCAAACAATTATTTGTTAAAAAAAAACAACATTGATTTTAGGTCAAGTGCAATAGCACAATGCGATCATCATGTTAAATAATTAGAGCGAATAGAGAGGGTTAAGTTTCATTTCTTGCTGTAAAAATATTTCAGCGAAATTATAGTTATTTTTAAGATATACACACATAAATGCAATTGTTTGTGGGTTATAAACATATAATTTTTTGAGCTTCAAGCATTCAAGAACACTGCAAGTTAGACACGAATTTAAATATTTTTTCTAAGTACATTATACATACATACTTAGATATGTACTAAGGCACTAAGTTTTAAAAAAACCTTTCCAAAAAAAAAGCATTATTTTCTTATTAAAAGTGTAAAAAATATCAAAACATCAATTGAATAAAACAGTAATAGTTTAACGTTCTAGTAACTAACATGCACATAACGTGGCAAGTGGCAACTGCGCCACGGAGTCGTGTATATTGTAAAATACGCAGATTTCTTTGGTTGTTTCCTATTTACAATTGGTTGAATGGATTTGGCAATTGGTTGAATGGATTTGAATCACGTGGAGAGAATTTTTACACCATTTGTTCCTTAATTTTTAATTTTCATAACTAGTTACTAGTTAAAATGAAATTTTAAATAAAAGTGAGTACACACATTTTCGAAAAAATTTAATAAAAATGTCGATGTCCGCAAACTTGTAATCTTTTTAAAGTTGTCTTGTATTAACTGATGTTTGTGCTTTCAGTCCCGAGACTATTAAAGCTTCATCTGATGCAGAACCGGTGGGCTAGCCAGAACCCACGGGTTTGGGCCCTCCGCTGTGGGTAGGGCCACGCTTGTGCTCATGCGTGCGTTTAAGTGTGGTGTGTCTTCTAAGGGCCATCGAGGTCGCGGTTCGGACCGAAACCCCGACGGCCGTCGACTGTGCAATTAGCTAATCGGTGGCTGGGAGCGGTGAGAACCGCCCCGGAACGCGGGTGTACCTTGTGTACGCGTTGTGTTGGTGTCGCCGTGCTCGGAGGCGAGGGCGAACTATTGTGTTTGTTGTTGCACTAACTGTGGGTGTAGTGTTATCCGGCGGGACCCCCGGCGGTGGGTCCGGCGTATCTAAGTCCCCTTCCTCAACCGGGTCGATGAGGGCGTTTCGCGGGCGACGCTTGTTGACGTTCGCGTTTGTGTCGGGTTGGTAATTTGCTGCGCTTACCACCGGAGAGGGTTGGGTTTTTAAAGTTTGGTCGCGTAACGGTGCAGGCGCAGGTTTGAATCCTTTTACGACATCTGCGCATTTTAATCATTCCTTATTATTATTAACTGTATCCAAATATGCTTAATGACGGTGCGCTTTCGCAGGGATATCGTGAAGAAGAAGCGAGACGAACACCTGAAGATGGTGTGGCGGGTGTCGCCCTCGCACAAGCGGCTGCAGGCGCGCATGGAGCACATGCGCCGCTTCCGACGTCACCACGAGCAGCTGCGCACCGTCATGCTGCGCGTCTGTGGCGGCTTGTTTTTATTTTTTTTTTTGTGAAAAGTTACTAAGCGAGCAGGCGGCTCGACTGATGTTAAGAAAACACCCGATGGCTTGCAAATGCGATGACAACCTTTAATAAAGTGGGTTCCGCTACTAGACGAAACGCGAAAGTATCTTACTTCCACTTCACGCCGGTCGTCTATAAGGTCGTTGTACTTCTCCAGACAAGACCGCCCACTCGTGCAACTGAAACTGATTTCTTGAAAGAATCATTCCCACTATCTCCAGGTTCGATGGCCACGTATAAAGAGATTTTCAGGCCACGGCTCATCGTCATGCGCGGGGGTTGCGCAAAAATGACGGGAACCTCCGCTATTGTCTAGTCTCCTTTATCACTGACATTTTTAATGTCAGAGATGAGAGTCATGTCCAGGATATGTCTCAAGATTAAACATTAGATTGTACGGGTTGTTTGGAGGTGTAATTTCAAATTCCCACATGGGGATAGTTGTATGTATACTTTTTCATTTCGCCTCGTGAGCGACCACGACTGGAGGCGGAAACTCAACTAAAACTAAAAAATACTGTTTTCAAGCTACTCCAAAAAGGAGGCGGTTTTCAATTCGGTTTTATGTATTTTTTGTGAGTGGGAGATATGATGTCGATTATTATTTTTTTTCTGTTTATATTATTATTTACTTAAAAACTTTAAACTTGAAACAAACACTTCACTTGAATATTTATTAACAGGTGCTGCGTCCCCGTGCTAACGTGAACACGGAGCAGGCCGGGGGTGAGGTGACCCAGCCGCTCTCGCTTCCAATGGACGCCGCAGACGCCAACGCTATTGCTGAGGTTAGCATTACGTTAGGAAAAATTGTGTTGTTTCATTCTATGCTGCTCTAAGAAGATTATTAGGTAGAAACAACGCTGACGACCCAAATAGTAGATACTGACTGGACCTCTCTCTTATGTCTTATGTCATATGTAATAAATATTTATTTCCAAAAAAAAGTATGTTTAAGTATATTTATCACCTAGTATCCATAGTAGAGTTTGGGAATAGATAATATTGTGTAGATGTGTACTAAAATATTTATTATTTATTTCATAACACTCCTTTAATATGGGTATTCTTAAATGCACAACTAAGAATTATTCGTTCTTAATGAGATCGGCTGAGAATCCAGCTCGGCTGGACTGCGTTCGGGAAATTGCGCGGCGTCTTTACGTCCAAAATACCACAGTCCTTAAAGACGAAAGTCTTTAACCAGTGCGTGCTACCAGCGATGACCTACGGTGCCGAGACGTGGTCTCTCACTATGGGCCTCATAAGGAAGCTCGCGGTCACACAGCGCGCTATGGAAAGGGAAATGCTCGGGATTTCTCTACGCGATCGAATCAGAAATGAGGAGATCCGTAGAAGAACTAGAGTTACCGACATAGCAGAGCGAGTCAGCAGGCTGAAGTGGCAGTGGGCAGGGTACATAGCTCGAAGAACCGATGGCCGTTGGGGCAAAAAGGTTCTCGAGTGGAGACCACGTGACGGCAAGCGCAGCGTAGGAAAGCCTCCCACAAGGTGGACGGACGACCTAGCTAGGGTCGCAGGGACGCGTTGGATGCAGGCCGCTAACAACCGGTCGAAGTGGAGGTCAATGGCCTATGTTCAGCAGTGGACGTCCTACGGCTGATATGATGATGATGATGATGAATGAGATCAACAAAGTAGTGAAACAATTTAAGGTGTCAATAAGCAGATGATCAAGGCCATGTTTTTTACAGATGTGGGCGGTAGTCCATAAAAGGTTGCAAACTTATAAATTAATATAGTAATCATAAATTTGCCCTTTAACAGGTAAACTTGGCGTATGAAAATGTCAAAGAAGTGGATTGCTTGGACATCTCGCGGGAAGGCTGCGACGCTTGGGAGGCGGCTGTACGACGTTACGAAGACAGGATTGGTGAGTAACTTAGTTCCCCATTTCAATTTCTTATATTCGATAATGAAATAAAAAATATGTACACACGTCGTACATTTTAGAGCTTTCAGTCATCATCAGTCAAACTCTGAGTGCAATTATAATTCATAGTAATGTTTCGTAATAATTCAAAGGTCGACAACGCACATTGATCACATTTTTTTTGTGCGAGATGGTGGCAAACGAGCTGGCGGTTCCCCTGATTGTTGAGCGATAACCGCCAGCCATTGACAGTTGCAACACCCGTAGTGTTGTAGATGCCATCATTTCATAAAACTGGCCCCGGCTGCCTCGCACACCAGACGAAACGTAGCGGTGTTAAACTTCCACCCCACGCCGGTCTTCTGCGAGGTTATGCTACTTACCCCGCCGAGCCTGCCCATTCGTGCAACAGAGGAGGATGTTGCGTGGCCCCACCGCACTTTCCACCTGTTCAGCCGCTTGCCAGTTTTCGTGGCTTCGTTTTCAACAAAAGAACATCATTCCGCAGACCGTGTGGAGACCCGCATCACGGCGCACCTCCGCGACCAGCTCGGCACCGCTAAGAACGCGAACGAGATGTTCCGCATATTCTCGCGGTTCAACGCGCTGTTCGTGAGGCCGCACATCCGCGGCGCCATCCGCGAGTACCAGACGCAGCTCATACAGCGCGTCAAGGACGACATCGAGGCGCTGCACGAGAAGTTCAAGGTCACGCGACGCGCTCAACAATCTAACAAGCAAAAAAATCTTTTGTTTTATTGCGAAATGTAAAAAGAAACGGAACTTAGATGTCGAGACGTTTCACGACGTGAGTTCATCGGTCGCTAAGCTTAATTTATTTTAATGAAAACGACCTCTTCACTTGTAATAATTTTAAAAGCTTGTCGCTTCAAATACCTTTTAGCTTCGATAAACACCATGAATTTATACAACTGAACGCTACTGAATACGTAAATTATTCACTACAGTAGTCGCGAATGGTTCACACTGTTAGTGAACCATTCGCGTAAATACAAGAAATTGTTAAGAATTTGATTTTTTTTTTATACAGGTCCAATATCCTCAATCCAAATGCAGTCGCTTGTCTCTGGTCCGCGACTTGCCGCCAGTGGCCGGTTCCATCATCTGGGCGAAACAAATCGACCATCAACTTACCGCTTACCTCAAGCGCGTCGAAGATGTTCTGGTCAGTTTGCTAACAAATATCGAATCCAATAATAAAAAGTTAAAAATTGCCAGTTTAGAAGTAAAAAACCGGCCAAGTGCTATTGAGACTCGCGCATGAAGGGTTCCGTACCATCATCTATAAAAACGGCAAAAAATCATGTTTGTTCTATGGGAGCCCCTTTTAATATTTTTTTATTTTATTCTGTTTTTTAGTATTTGTTGTAATAGCGACAACAGATATTCATCATCTGTGAAAATTTCATCTGTCTAACTATCATGATTCAGGAGATAAAGCCTGGTGACAGACAGACAGCAGAGTCTTAGTTGTAAAAAATTATAAAATTTTACCATAGCACTCAATAAATTCCTCCTGCTTTATACCTTGGAACAAGTACCGCAAATTCTAGTCAAACGCATGTCCCGTCGAATGCATAATCGTAATGTAAGACTTTTGTAGTACTATATGTAGAAAACACGCTTGTTTGCAAATGTACAGTAATGTGTGGGTACGAGGAGGACAAAAAGTGGTTTTGACTGCGGCACGAATGAGAGGGCAACTCTACCCCGCATCCCGTATGCATCTCACAAAAAATTTCGCCGTAAACTATGTCCTTTGCAATAACTTAAAAACTTTTGAGGTGTATTAAAGTTTTGGGCTTGTGTTTTCAAAGTGTTCAATAGAATATTTTTAATAATTCTCATGTGTCAACAGGGAAGGGTTGGGAAAATCATATTGAGGGTCAGAAGTTGAAAGCTGACGGCGACAGCTTCCGTCTTAAACTGGACACGCAGGAAGTTTTTGATGATTGGGCGCGTAAGGTACATTGGTTTTATTGTTATGTTATGTTAAAATTATGTGGAACCTTTAATAATTTCGGTTAATTATTATATAACAGGTGCAGCAGCGCAACCTGGGCGTGTCCGGACGCATTTTCGCCATAGAGTCCGTGCGTGCTCGATCTAGTAAAACTGGTACAATACTTAAGCTGAAAGTGAACTTTTTGCCCGAAATCATTACACTTTACAAGGAAGTGCGAAACCTGAAAAACCTTGGTTTCAGGTAAGATGTTTATTTATTTTTAACATTAGTAATAAGTAATAATAATAATAATAAAACACTGCGGTGCTCCTCGATACCGCCCGCATCGTCCGCCGGTTTCTCTCCCTTTCACCCTAACCCTCGGCCGTTTGGTCTCCCCTGCCGAGGGCTTCCGTCTGGTTGGGTCCTATTTATATATGTATTATATACAATATTTATATCTATATGTTTATTTTTATTCATAATATTTATTTTATATATGTAATATATATATATATATATATATATATATATATATATATATACATATGTTTATTTTTTATCTATGAACTTAACCAGACGAGAAAACAAAGAAATATCCCCGACATATAAAACACTGGTATAGAATAGCCTATAATTTGTCAAGATTACTTCAAACATTTTAAAAACAAACACAGACTACAACTTAATATTTTCGCATGAGAAGGTTTTATCTGATGCGTACTAATGACAGACTGATAACTATGTAATATGTATTTCAGAGTACCATTGGCAATAGTAAACAAAGCGCACCAGGCTAATCAACTGTATCCTTTTGCTATATCGCTCATCGAGAGCGTTCGTACTTACGAACGGACACTAGAGAAGGTGCGTAACATATTTCCTTTTCTGATATTTTAGCTTCAGTTGAGTGCAAGCGAAGAATCTCCAAATTTAACATTGTACCTTGACACTAAGGTGTAATATCTGGTAAAATTTTAGTTGGTACAATATATTTGTGCAGCTCTCCACAATATCTTAAAAATAAACCACCTAACCTAACCAGTCAGTTAAAAATAAACAAATTTTGAGACTAAAAAAACGTTTGGGTTACTATAAAATCTTATTTTGGCCACTAAATCGCTTTCGCCCAGCTAAAGGATCTCCATATATTTTATTTCGCACCCATTGCAGTAATAGAGCACCACTGCAGTGGACAACGTCACTTAGCGAGCCTTAATAAATTCATCATGTCACGGTTGCCTAAATAGTGTAAGAACAGATAACAGTTTATTGTAATATAACTAACACATGCGTTTTTATTTGTGCAGCTGAATAATAGGACTCATACAAAGGTAGTTTGATTTACGAATGCATGCTTGTGTTCAGTTTTGTAAGCCTATACTATCTTAGATATTCTTAGTCTATAAATCTATTTTTTATCACGGTAAGAATTATGCCGAGATCGTTAAAAACTTATATGTTTACCAACAACTTCTGAACTTTGAAGGCCTCAACCGTCTTCAGCTATTTTATTTTCATTGTAGAACAAATATATCAGAACTATATATTTATATAAGCTTTTATATTCACGTTAAGAAAGTAAATACATAAAACAATGTTTTAATGGTTTATTATTTTTCGTTATTAGCTATGAATTTACGCTTTTAATTAGTTAACAGACATTTAATGCTATGCAAAATATAAGTGCATATTAAGTTGCCAGTAGGCATATATTTATCATAATATTAAAATGAAATATTATCTTTTGCATTTTTTCTAATACTTTCAATTTTGCAGATCCGCGACAAGGCCTCGATCATTCCCTTAGTAGCGGGCTTACGTCGCGACGTCCTCAACCAGGTGTCCGAAGGAATGGCACTTGTATGGGAATCGTTCAAACTCGATCCGTACGTCCAGAAGCTGAGCGAAGTTGTGCTGCTGTTCCAAGAGAAGGTATAATGGCTAATGTCCCATAATATTTTTTTTTTTTATGCGAAAAGTTGTCAAATGAGCAGACGGTTCACCTGATGTTAAGTGAATACCGCCACCCATGGACATCTGCCACACCCGAGGGTTACAGAGGCGTTGACAACCTTTTGAAAATTGGGCTCCGGCTACCTCACTCACCAGACGAAACGCGAAAGTATTTGTCATACTTTCACTTTACGCCGGTCTTCTGTAAGGTCGTGTTACTTACCCGGATGGGCTTATTTAAAAAAAACGTGTGCTTTCAACCGGGGCCGCATCTGTCTGGGGGTCCTTCTCGACATGGAGAAGGCCTTCGACAGAGTGTGGCACGAAGGCCTGCTACATAAGCTGCTGGAAAATACCACCACCCACCGTGCGCTCGTGCGGTTAGTAGCGTCGTTTCTCCGGGACCGGAAGTTCGTCGTACACGTCGAGGGAGCCGACTCGGCGGTACGATGCATCAAAGCCGGTGTACCACAAGGTAGTTGTCTGTCGCCACACCTGTATGCGGTGTACACGGACGACATTCCCACCTTGGAGCAAAACGCCTCCGACTGGGATGAAGACGTACTGTTGGCCCTGTACGCGGACGACAGTGCGTTCTTCACGTCTTCACACAACGCGGCGTTTGCGGCGAGGAAGATGCAGCGCCAATTGGACCTGCTGCCCGAGTGGTTGGATAGGTGGCGGATGTCTGTCAATGTCATCAAACAACAACCAACGCTTGAGCTGCGAGGTCAAGCGATAACGAACCAGGACACCATCAGGTATCTTGGGTGCCGGATAGACCGCTCGCTGAGTATGGCGCCCCAAGTCGAACACTCTGTTCGACAAGCCAGGGCAGCTCGAGCGGTCCTTTACCCAATCCTGGCATCCAAGCTACCTGTTAAGACGAAACTGGGCGTCTATAAAACCTACATCCGTTCGCGCTTGACCTACGCCGCTCCGGCGTGGTATGGTTTCCGCCTCGCAGAGGCGCAGGCTCCAGGCGCAGCAGAACCTCGCCCTTCGAGCAATCGTGGGAGCCGGGCGTTACGTCAGGAACGACGTAATCGCCAGAGACCTGAAGATCGTGTCCATCGAGGAGTTTGTGGTCCGGTTGGCCCGTCGCTTGTACGACAGGGCTGACAACGGACCACACCCACACCTGGAGAATATTGCTCCACTCCACGCCCGTCCTCCTGACGGACGTCCGCTCCCACGAGAGCTACTGCGGTCGGAACAGGCCATTGGGGGGCCGGACCCGACCGCACTTCCGCCGCTGTGTCGAAGACGATGTCGTCCTCGCGTTACACACCGCGTGTAACGCCGTACACCCGCAAGTGCCGCTACCGCGGTCAGGGATAGGGATGGCCGATGGCCATCCTCACCACCGACCAGCCATTCGCTGGTCGAGATACATGCCCGAGTAATGGGGACAGGGCCCCCGAGACTCGTTTAAAGCAGGCCTCGCGCCAGCTTCGTACATCATCATCACGTGTGCTTTATGCACACACGTTTTTTTGTAACAACCCCATCACGTGGCTATGTGTTACTTATCATAAGTGTCGGTATTACGCTTAAGGTGCTATTATATACCATAGGCACAGTTAATAATAATTATTATTTTGCCAGGTTGAAGATCTGCTAGCCGTAGAGGAGCAGATTTCCGTGGACACGCGTTCGCTGGAAACATGTCCCTATTCCGCACAAAGTCTTGCGGACATCCTGAGCCGTCTGCAACGCGCCATCGATGACCTGTCGCTGCGCCAGTACAGCAACCTCCATTTGTGGGTTCAACGACTCGATGAAGAGGTAAATAAAGAAAACATTCACTATATCACAACAAAACATACACATATCTATATGAAATATAAAGTAAATATGTCTGCACTTTTTTCATTATCATACGGCGGTTAAAAAGATCACATACATCTTTTTATTAATACAATATATATTACACCCAGTTCAAATTTGTTCTTAATATTGATACTAGGTACGTAATTCTGTATTTAGGTTGAGAAAAAGCTTGCGGCTCGCCTGCAAGCCGGAATCGAAGCTTGGACAGCGGCATTGCTGGGCAAGGCCAATGAGCTCGATCTCTCGATGGACACTTACTCGCCCGCAGAGCCCACTCACAAACCTGGTGGCGACCCACAGGTATTTGGTGACTTTATATACAATTTATTTAGCAACTTCGAAATAAAGCCTCAAGTTGTAAATATAGTGATAAAAACCTATTTTTAAAGATTTTTGACTCCACAGATGGCAAAAGATTCCCCGCCAATTGAAATTGTGTATGGTTTTAGGTTTGACCAATTTTCTGTGACCCTAAAATAGTTGTTCCGAGTCTGGGTTTACTTAGTATCCACGACACAATCCGCGACACAAGGCTTACTCCGTTTTATTTTAAAATTCTAAGGTTTGCGGATGCGTTGTTACCTATAAAAGACTAGGCACCAGTTTCTCGCTCACCAGACGAAACACAGAAGTAATAGTTACACTTCACCTCGGTCTTCTGTTAGATCGTGGACGAGCCTATAGGTTAAACTTAACATTAATTTTAAACGAACAAACACCCAAATCGGATAAATTTTACTTGTGGTCACACAAACAGTTATATCTCTAACTACGCCACAGAATCGTGAACATAATGTATTATGTGTAGGCTTCAACATTTTATCACTATTCGTTACAGATCGCGCGCGTAGTGCACGAAGTGCGCATCACCAACCAGCAGATGTACCTGTTCCCGTCGCTGGAGGAGGCGCGTTTCCAGCTGATGCGCCAGATGTTCGCCTGGCAGGCGATCGTCACAAGCCTCCAACGTCTGCAAAGCACCAGGTACTTTCCTCTCTCACAGTGCCAATGCAATGGCGATATTATATTACTTTTTTTATTTTTATATAATGAGACCGATCTTCACAATATCAGCTGTCTTACTTTGCACTCGTTTGCAGTGTAAACTGTTGCGAATTATTATGCGTAATTTCGTTCACCTGCGTTAAAATTTATAGTTTGCAGTTCATAAACTCCTCCTTTCCAAATATTATTTCAATCCGTTTTTTCTTTCGTTCAGTTGAACAACTTATTTGATTGACATACAAACTTTTGTATTTAATCATATTCACTCAATAATACTCGTGAAAAAATTACATAATGCATTTGATTCCAATTTGATGCCAAGATGTAACTAGTAAACCAAGAACTACATTATATAAAAAGAAACACCAAAAATTATAATAACTCTAAAGATATAGTATACTGATATAGTAATATATCGGTGTTAAAAAATATTTACTCCAATAAACAAATGTAGCTGTTAAAACATGTATAAAAAGTACGAAAAGATTGTTGCCGCTGTGGGAATCGTCCCCACGTCTTCGGCATTCGCGGCTTGACGCTTTAGCCGCTAAGCTAAACGGCTGATTGCCACACCGACGAAAATCTTAACGTCTTTTATCTACATTGTTTTTTAGCATTTGAAGCAATGCTTGACGCATCTATTACATTATATCCTTTCCAGCATAGAAACAATTTCGAATATCGTTTTACAACGATAACTTCGAACTAGAGATGTCGCCATTGCTTTTTAGATTAAACATTAAAACTTGTAAAAAAATGTACGTGTGTTTCTGTCTACAACGGGTTTTTGGCGTTTATTGCGACTTAGTTGATATTAATAAACATATGGATATATGCCTTTGTTACAGATACCAAGTGGGTGTGGCCCGCGCTCAGACTGTAACGTACAGGAATTTGCTCACGAAACTACCAGGTGGTTCTTCGCCATTGGAGAACGCTTACGATGCCATTGAGCAAAAGATATCGCAAGTCCGCGAATACGTCGACGAATGGCTACGGTAAGCCGCTCACATAAATTCCATCAATCCACAAAATATATTTGAAGCTACATCAATAACAAAAACCAATCTACCATATTTTTAATAATTTATCATACCTTACAGTTATCAAGCACTATGGGATCTACAACCGGAAACCCTATATGGAAGACTCGGAGAAGATATTACCCTCTGGATAAAGTGCTTGAATGATATCAAGTAAGTAAGGCGAGAAGACTTTCTTTATTTTACGAAAAAGAGAAAAAAAAATCAACACTCGAAAAATAAGCCTTAACTTTTACTTTTACATTCTATAACAAAAACATATGTCACAAAAAAATCGTAACTTGAAATTTTTATAGCATGCACGTAAAACCTATACGGTTTTTGGTTCATACCAGTGTGTAAACCGCTTCGACGTATCCCTTTAAAAAAAAACAACGTCGAAAACAGTTCGAAATTCAAAAAGTGCTCAACTTGACAAGTACAAGTCACTTTGACGATCGGCAGGAAGTCGCGCACGACGTTCGACACGTCGGACACGCGGCGCGAGTACGGGCCGGTGGTGATCGACTTCGCGCGCGTGCAGAGCAAGGTGGCGCTCAAGTACGACGCCTGGCACAAGGAGGTGCTCGGCAAGTTCGGCGCGCTGCTCGGCGGCGAGATGGTGCAGTTCCACGCGCGGCTCGCCAAGTCGCGCGGCCAGCTCGAGCAGCAGACCATTGGTATGGGATAATTCCTTCGTCCGTTTCGCGTGACAGTGCCCACCGTTGCGCGATTGGGCAGGCTCGTCCGGCTAAGTACCACGATCTCACCGAAGACCGGCGTAAAGTAGAAAGGCTACACTTCTGCGTTTCGTCTGGTGAGCGACGTAGCCGGGGCCCCCTTTCTCACTTTTTTTTGTTTTTGAGAAAGGCATTCTACCAAGCTTTATTATTGGTTTAGTAAGATAGAAATTTACCCAAGTTTTATGAAAATCTGTTTAAGTACTGAGAGGTTTGTTTTAGCTTTACTGGTTTAAATTTACAGAGGCAGCCTCTACCAGTGATGCGGTATCGCTCATCACTTATGTGCAACAGCTCAAGAGAGAAGTACTCGCTTGGGAGAAACAGGTCGAAACGTACAAAGAGGCCCAACGCATCTTAGAACGTCAAAGGTTACTTTCTGCTAATTTTACTATTAAATTATGCATTTTGACGACCCGATTAGCGGTGTGCATAGTAATAAAACCTACCTATTTCGTCAGAGAGTGTGGGTTGGATCCCTACTAATGGCAAACTATGGTGTGATAACTATGTTATGTTTTCCTAGTGTTTGGGCGTTTATATATCTATAATTTGTACTTATTTACAAAACAAAAGAGTTTATCAGCTACCAAACTGCTTAGTTTTGGACTAGGTAAAGTGTGTTAATGGTAATCCCGAAAAATATTTAATTATGTTGTAAAATATTTATTATTATATTTTGAACAGTAAAATAAATAAATATTGTCATTAAACTTTCAGATTCCAATTCCCCACTCAGTGGCTACACGTGGACAACATCGAGGGAGAATGGAGTGCTTTTAACGAAATAATGCGAAGGAAAGATTCTTCTATTCAAACCCAAGTACGAACTTGAGAAAAATAATTAATATAAATTGACTTAATTGTCATAGCAAATATTATTTGATTAACGTATTTGTGATATAACTTATTACTGCAGTTGAAAATAACAATAGCTTTTCTGGTTCGACAATGTGAAGTATCCAGTTTACGAGTACTTGAGTTCTAAATGTTGAATTCCTGTGTAGGTGGCATCGCTCCAACAAAAGATCGTGGCCGAAGATAAAGCTGTGGAAGCTCGAACCGTTGAATTCCTCGGCGAGTGGGAGCGGAACAAGCCGACAGATGGCTCCACTAGGCCCGAGGATGCTCTGGCACGCTTGCAAGTTATGGAAACTCGATACACCAAGCTGAAGGACGAAAGGGATAATGTCGCCAAGGCTAAAGAAGCCCTAGAGCTGCATGATACAGGTATATAACCATTTCAAAGTGACATCTAGTATTTCAGAGTATCAGGTCAGAACATACAATGAATTATTGTTAAACAACTGATTTTACGGATATTTTCGGCGTGCACTGTTACAGAAAATCTGCTAATTACTCTCCTTAAACTTCGAAAGTAATAGTGTTATTTAATCAAATTTACAAAGTCTAATCTATAACAATTATCAACAAGTTATTCCTATTTATAATTTTGTCCTACTCATTACACTTTGCAAATTTAATTTTTATAGAGTCTTGAAAATGATTCAGTTTACAAAATGACATTACAAATCCATTCCCATGAGTATGTATGTATTTTCACTTTTCATTACATAAAAGGTGTTGGTTTTATATTTAACAGTCACTTCGGTGAACAACGAACGTATGACCGTGGTGATGGAAGAGCTGCAAGACTTACGCGGAGTATGGTCGTCGCTCAGCAAAATTTGGACTCAGATTGACGACATAAGGGAAAAACCGTGGCTATCTGTGCAACCAAGGAAACTTCGGTAAAGTATATTTAAGTAGCAATAATGTATTACACATAAATAATGAAACATAATTGTATGTTACTCACTACTGAAAAGAAAGGAAGCATCATAGAAAATTCACGAAAAAGTGACTATTTTAAAGCGTGTTTGGAATTAGTTCATAGTACTATTTTTCTCATCTGCTTGAATACATTGTTTTGCTTACTATTTGTATTTATCTTATTGCAGTCAACAATTGGAAGCCATGTTGAATGAGCTGAAGGAGTTGCCGGCTCGTTTGCGCATGTACGACAGCTACGAATATGTCCGGAAACTATTACAGTCATACACAAAGGTTGGTTTAAGTCTTAAAATAAAAAGAAAGTTTGTCAGTTTGTTGACGTGGTATTTATATTGGTTATAATGGAAATTCTGCATTCGGTTTTTTTTTAACAGGTCAACATGTTGATAGTGGAACTCAAATCGGACGCACTCAAAGAACGTCACTGGCGTCAACTTTGCCGCGCGCTACACGTGGAGTGGGCGCTTTCTGAGCTAACTTTGGGACAAGTATGGGATGCTGATTTGCTGCATAACGAACACACAGTCAAGGATGTAGTCTCCGTTGCTCAAGGGGAGATGGCACTTGAAGAGTTTTTGAAACAGGTAACTTCTAATATCTAAGATTTATTCCCGTTAAAATTAAGTACTACAATTCCAGTGGTCTAAGGACCACTGAAATTGTAGTAGAACCTTCCTTAGAATGAAACTAATTTTCAAAGTTCAATGAAACAGTGTGTTTTATATTTGTGATTTGTGAATGATAACTAATAAGAGCTTATTTAAAGGTGCGCGAGTCATGGCAGAGCTACGAACTGGACCTGATCAACTACCAAAACAAGTGCAAGATCATACGCGGTTGGGACGATCTGTTTAACAAAGTGAAGGAGCATATAAACAGTGTGGCGGCCATGAAGCTGTCGCCTTATTACAAGGTAAAAATTAAGAATACCAATTAAGAGAATGGTTATTACTTTAAAACTTTGGATCCAATCACATGTTTTCGTTTTTTGTTATAGTCCGTTTTCAAATTTTGACGAGTGAGGTGCACTGGGCCCACTTGGTTTAAAGGTTGCTAACACAAACTGATGATTTTGTAGATGTCAAATCTCTGAACATCAAGTGAACATCCATCCCGATTGCTTGATAACTTTTACATAAAAAAATGTTTATATTTAATATAGGTGTTTGAAGAGGAAGCTCTAACCTGGGAGGAGAAATTAAACCGTATCAACGCTTTGTTCGATGTATGGATAGACGTTCAGCGCCGTTGGGTTTACTTAGAGGGCATCTTCAGCGGCTCCGCTGACATAAAGACCCTGCTGCCGGTGGAGACCAGCCGATTCCAGAGCATCAGGTAATTATAGGACTTAAATTTACTTATATTTTTAATATTTTACGACAGCACTAGTATGAAAACAATAACCAAAGTAATAATAAACAATGTAACCGAAAAAACTTTTGTGTGTCGTATTTAATACAATGGTAGGTTGACAACAGTACTGCATTCTTCTCAAGCTAAACTTAGGTGAATTAAATGTGATTGTATAACATGTAAATGACCATAATAATTTTTTTAGCTCTGAATTCTTGGGCCTGATGAAGAAAGTCAGCAAGTCACCAATGGTCATGGATGTTTTAAACATACCCGGCGTGCAACGATCCTTGGAGCGCCTGGCCGACCTCCTGGGCAAGATACAGAAGGCGTTAGGAGAATACCTAGAGAGGGAACGTAGCAGCTTCCCGCGGTAAATTTAATTACATGTGTCGTTTATGTTAAGTATATAGCAAAGAGTTTTAGCGCCTGCCATATTTGGACTTTAAAAGTTTATTTTAGGAAGATAAAGACAAGCTATATTTGTCTACATTGTTGGAATTCTATGATAATATCAAAATAATTTTAATGTTACCGTTAATCTACTACGACCATTCCTAACATCGTTCGAGTTTATTCATATACGTATTTCTTAATATTATCAATATTTCAATAGCTTTTGTTCGCCATTTTTCTTTTGGTGTATACTTGGGGTCATCTACGTGTATGATTATTTGTAATTAAAAATGTTTAAACATCGACAATGACCTAAAATCAATAATGTCGATAACATTTTATTTTATTTGAAATTACAAAATCTAGATTCTAAGTTCTATAGAATTAACTATAGAATTAACTAGCTTTTGTGCACACTGTATTTGCTCAGAGCATGCCTCTACAAAAAAGTGACCATCGTTAATTCGAATGGAGTTACTTTGTTCAATACCAACAATAATGTTTCTCCAGTTTCTACTTCGTCGGTGACGAGGACCTGTTGGAGATAATCGGCAACAGCAAGAACATCGCTAGGCTGCAGAAGCACTTCAAGAAGATGTTCGCAGGCGTTGCGGCTATTATTCTCAACGAAGATAACACCGTGATCAATGGAATCGCTTCCCGCGAAGGCGAAGAGGTGCGTAAAAGCTAAACAACTAGTCTTAACTATAGGATAGCGTATTTTAACAGCAAAACCAGCAGATTGTGTTTAATAATTTGACTGGCTACAGTTTCAGTTGTGTTGCTGAACTCTAGGAGCTAAATGAAACATGAATAAAATAGTATTCGAGTAAATACAAGATTATTGTATAAAATATGAAATTGCTCTTGAATTTGTTTCAGGTGTACTTTACTTCCCCCGTGTCGACTATCGAGAACCCGAAAATCAACTCGTGGCTGTCGCTGGTGGAGCGCGAGATGCGCGTCACGCTGGCCTGCCGCCTCAAGGACGCCGTCTTCGACGTCAAACAGTTCAAGGACGGCAACGTGGACCCGCAGAAGTTCATCGAGTGGTGCGACAAGTATCAAGTGAGTTGGCGGATGTTAATCACTACATAGTATAAAACAAAGTCGTCCCGCTGTCTGTCTCTCCCTGTGTATGCTTAGATCTTTAACACTTTTTTTAGTAGATAGTGATTCAAGAAGAAGGATTATATGTATAATACATTGCACCCGTGTGAAGCCGGGGCGGATCACTAGTATTATTATAGTTTTAGAATGCATGTAATGACAGTTCTTCTTTCTAACTTCAATATTTTTAGTATTAGTTTGTTTTTGGTATTATTATATATGTTTAGGAATGACAGCTTAACGGTTCTTCTTTCTAATTACAATATTTTTAATCAATTTTCTACAGGTCCGTAATGATTACATGATTTGAATTCGTAAATACACCAATAGATATATGCGACGGTCAGTTCAAAACCAAATGAAAGATAAACGAATTTAATACAAATTAAGCGCTATTCACGCCATCAATACTAGATTTGTAAGATTACGACTATACATTTTAACGTTCCCCCAGGCCCAAATTGTGGTGCTGGCAGCCCAAATACTTTGGTCGGAAGACGTCGAGAACGCGCTCGTTAACGGCGGTGGCGAAGGTCTTAAACAAGTGCTGGCGCATGTCGAGAACATGCTGAATATACTCGCTGACTCCGTGCTTCAAGAACAACCGCCTCTGAGAAGAAGGAAGCTAGAACATCTGGTCAGTAACCGCTAACCGCCTCCCATTATTATCGTACTAAATAAATCAAAGCGCAAAACTTACTGTGGCGCTAAATATAATTGTCCGAGACAGAACCCAACACACTGTTAAGGTATACACAATATACTTGTCGCACGAGGAGCGTATATGCTCTTGCCTACAAACCACAGTCCAAATCGCTTGCTGTCTCACTCCCACAGCACGTTGATAGCCAACTGGCGAACACCGTAACGACGTACAACAAGTCTAGTGGACAAGGTGTGATATGAAAGTCGAAGTTCGAACTTTATCTAACTATTTAATAACATTTATATAAGTTGGTCGCCACTAGTTTTAAAAGACGACCTTTTTTATATATTTTATCTTTTATGAATCGCATAACCGATAAACTATTAATGTTTCTCAGATCAACGAGTTTGTGCATAAACGCACAGTGACGCGTCGCCTGATTGCGTCTGACGTGAACAGCCCGCGCTCATTCGAGTGGCTCTGTGAAATGAGATTCTACTTTGACCCCAGGAATAATGATGTAAGTTGAAAAGCAAATATTTCTAATTATCATTAATAATCAGTTTATTGATTATGTTTTTAAGCATAATGGTGCTGTAAATGTAAAATAAAAATCTGCATTTCTTTGTTTCCTCCTCTCAAGAGTGCTGAATAGATTTGATTGGAATTCTATCAATATAGATTGTACACTGGAATAAAATAAAAGATCATTTTATCTTTAAACTTTTAAGTTTTACGTTTAATATTGTAAAGGATGTGCATTTTTAATTAGCAGTTATTTATCTAATAGCTAGCTAACGGGAAATAGAATTGTAAACAGATGCTGTGTCGTTTCAAACAGGTATTGCAACAATTGACAATCCACATGGCGAATGCAAAATTCCTGTACGGCTTCGAGTACTTGGGGGTGCAGGACCGCCTGGTGCAGACTCCCCTCACAGACCGCTGCTACCTGACTATGACTCAGGCGCTAGAAGCCCGTTTAGGAGGATCGCCGTTCGGTAACTTTAATTGTTTAACCAAATGTCTATTACTTAAATACGGGAAGACCTGATGATTCGTCGTGATGTAGACTTAGCCTATACTTTCTGAAATATAATCTAAAATATACATTCATTAGGTAGATTGGAAATATTTTTCGCTAAACGTTCGTGATGTTATGTAAACGACAAAAGCAAATCGCCTGCGGAGTTGCGAGTGTATGGAATATATGATGCTTTTCTAAGAATTTTATTGTAAAATCACTGATTATTCTGACTCTGCCTCGCTTGAAAGGGCCTGTGAATGCACGTGTACATGATATTTTCCAAAGCAAGAGTGCCCATGCACACAAATTTCTTACACGGATTTTGATAAATACATTTCTTCAAAAGTCATTTATTTAAGAAATTTTGCAATGTAATAAACTGTCCTATCTCTGACTCATTATTGGGTTACGCAATAAAAAAAATGCAGATCACATTTCACAATTAAAGTTAATTATAAAGTAAAAGGTTTATTAGCACAGTGCAATTGATTTGGTATATAAATTTAAACCAAGTTCTGTTTGTATAATAAATATGGGGCCAAGATATCAATACATTAGTATGTATGGTAATGTTTTATTTTTGTTTTCAGGACCGGCTGGTACCGGTAAAACCGAATCAGTGAAGGCGTTGGGCAATCAATTAGGCCGTTTCGTGCTAGTATTCAACTGCGACGAGACCTTTGACTTCCAGGCTATGGGAAGAATCTTTGTTGGACTATGTCAGGTACTTCAGGACTTTGTCAGACGTCTTCTTTATATATCTATATAATTCTGCGGCGCCAGTTTTGTAGCGCCGTCGTCCTGTTTCAATGACGTGGGACCTGTATTGTAATAAACTAATTTACAGGTGGGCGCCTGGGGATGTTTCGACGAGTTCAATCGTCTTGAGGAGAGAATGTTGTCTGCCGTGTCCCAGCAAGTGCAGACGATCCAGGAGGCGCTAAAGAGTCATCAAGAGGGAGACAATACTTGTAATATTAATAGTACTTATATCATGAATGTGTCTTAGGTGCAAATGTGTTTGAAGTTTACGACGTTTCGAAATTAAGTTCATGTAATAATCATTTTGGAACACCACTAAAACCTATACTAATTTATAGTTCTGCCATTATATAAAAGTGCTAAGTAACACTAACCCCAAATTCATGTGTGTACTTATAAATGCGAATGCAATAACATGCGCTCACGTTCGTTTCCAGCCAAGTCCATAACGGTGGAGCTGGTGGGCAAGCAGGTGCGCGTGAGCCAGGACATGGCGATCTTCATAACGATGAACCCCGGCTACGCGGGCCGCTCCAACTTGCCCGACAACCTGAAGAAGCTGTTCCGCAGCCTGGCCATGACCACGCCCGACAGGCAGCTCATCGCCGAAGTCATGCTCTTCAGCCAAGGCTTCAGGACCGCCGAGAAGCTGGCCTGCAAAATCGTCCCCTTCTTCAAGTAAGCTTCAATCGTTTCATTAAGTCGTTTGTAAGCTTTGTGTTTAAATAAATTAAGTTTTATAGATATTATAAATTAATTATATTAAGCTTGTATAAACTGTGGTAGGACCACGCAACAGTATTCGCTGTTGCACGAATGGGCAGGTCCGACTGAGTTAGTACCACGACCGGCGAATACCGAGACTTCTGCGTTTCGTCTTGTGAATGAGGTGGCCTGGGCCCACATTGTTAAATGGTGGCAACACATGTGCAACCGGTGTTGCAAATGTCCATGGGCAGCGGTTATCACTTAATATCAGATGAACTGCCAACTCGTCTACCACTTTCTCACATAAAAAAAATTTAAAATAAAGCTTATATAAAGATTAGTTGATGTTGAAAAATCAACAGGAATGTGTACATATTTATTTTACTTGAAAGTTGTCGGTTATTACCTTGTTAAACCTGGGAAAAAAAACCTGGCGCTTGCAAATTCTACTGTCGTATTCGAATGAGTTAGCCTTTTTCAGATTACTTACTCTGAAAATACCTGTTCAAATCATACTCTGTCTTCGTCTAACGGTCAAGAGACGTGATTCTCATGTTTTTTTGTTGTTGATAAGTTCTTCCAGAAATCAATCTACCGTAAACAGTTACTTGTTACATTTTTTAGTTATTAATTCTCTAATAAAACTCCGTAGATTGTGCGACGAGCAACTTTCAAACCAATCTCATTACGACTTCGGTCTGCGCGCTCTGAAATCTGTGCTGGTATCGGCCGGTAACGTCAAGCGTGATCGCATACAAAAGATTAAGGTAACCTCATTATATACTAAGTTACATACTACGACCGCATTAAAAATGAATACAATACCGAATTTACCTGACTGCGCCAGTAGGAGGGTTATGTTTTTCGTGATTATGTATGTATAATTGTTTGAACAGCTTGATAGATTTTAGCTTGAAAGGTGGCGATAGATTAGTATTTACTGTGAGAATGACACTAGGTATATCAAAATAAACAAATACTCAGAAACGCAGTCGTGTTTTTGAGTTTTTTAAAGTATATTTTACTTGTTTAATTTGCAATTCTAGGGTCATCTGTATGTTGTGAAACTTCCAGGAGAACCTGTTGGACCGCGGCAACGAAGTACCGGATGAGGCGTCCATCGCGGAGTCGCTACCTGAACAGGACATCCTGATCCAGTCGGTCTGCGAGACCATGGTGCCCAAGCTGGTGGCCGAGGACATTCCGCTGCTCTTCTCGCTGCTCAACGACGTGTTCCCCAATGTCGGCTACACGAGAGCCGAGATGACCGGTTAGCTATAAATTATGTATTTTTAACCGACAAACCCCTTAAGTGCAGATATCTGTGACAAACGATTCTTATTTGACTGGTTTAATATAAATTGTAATGAATCATGTATACTTATTTTATTTTACTTTTAAAACAGGTTTGAAGAACGAAATTCGCACAGTGTGCGCCGAAGAGTTTTTGGTATGCGGCGAGGGAGACGAACAAGGATCTACATGGATGGACAAGGTATAGTTATGCACTAACACTTCATTGCATTTGAATTGTGGTTGAAGGAGGTTTAACTAATTACTAATTATATCTCATTTTTTAGAAATTATCATCTCATATGTGACAAAGTCCTATCACTATAGTGACTGCTGAAACAATAATGCTGGAAACAATAATGGTCCCAAAACTTAAATACGCCTCTGAAGCTCGTCCTAGCCGTAACGCATTTATTGGTTTTAAGAGAGGCTATTTGGGCCCGCAGATGTGGGAGTATTGCGGTCTCTTTTGTGTCGCAATCAAAATTTCTTTCTGTCTTGCTCCCACGACACTGGATATAGTTGCGAACAACGATGTTAGATCCTTAAGCGTTCTATTAATCGCCATCGAGTTTGCACTACATGCGAATAATTCTCTGAGCAAACTTCATTCACTCAGGTGCATTCAAGTTTTGCGCGGCCCATATTCTATTTACTATTTATTTAATTAAATCATTTACATATACCATCCTAATCGTATAAATATCAGGTGATGGTGACAAGATTATACGGTCTTATTGCCAATATTTAACCTTTAATAACTCATTAATATGATTAATACTTTTTTTATATTTTTTGCTTATCATTTTCCGAAACTATGTATGGTTATGACTACGAAACATACTAATAAATAGTAGATTAATTCAAATTTATTTTAAAATACAAAACAATAAATAAAATTTAAACCTGAGAAAATCCATAAAATAGTCTTATTAAACGAACTAGATTCTAGTAGACCTGTTTTTCTGGAAACTTCTACATGTTTGAGTAAACTGCATATAAGTACGTAGTTTCGGCATGCACGGATATCATGTTATTCGGAAGCGAGTGTGAATGAATATGCGTTTCCATGCTAACCCGCTAACGGCACTAGAGGAGGAACGCGTCGTCCCGCGCGCAGCACAGCACGTGGATCGAGAAGGTCAGTGTCCGCCGCCAAGTGCCTGCACTCGGTGTTGCCGCAGAGAAAAATAAACGTTCGACTTTTAATGGACAAACAGTTTTTATTCATGCAACAGTTTAATGTTGAATCACTTAGATAATTAGATAAAAAAAACATATTTAAAAATAAATAAACGCATGTAAAGTTATAGACATTTTATACTTATAGATTTGTAACTATCCCATTATTTATTTTAGATTTAGTACTTGTTTTACTTTACTTATTTTTTATATATGTAAAACGTTTTTTTTTTTCTCTTGGCAACATCACGACGTTTCTGTGTAGCCTTTGGGTGGTGTGAAGGGGTCTTGTTTAGCCGTCGGCCCCGTCATAGGCTTTCGTATTGGTGTTTGTTCCTGTTTTCTTTTTCCTCCAAAATTCTGATGTTGGTTTTGTTGTTTGTGTTATTTGTGTTCCTGCTGCTTGGTTCTTGTAACACATGACAGGTACACACGAATCACGAACATTTACGCTTTTTAAATATTCAACACTTTCATGTTATGTCATAAACACACTTCTGTATTCCACCAGTCACTCGCTTATTGAATCTATCAAGACTACGCACATCTTTTTAAGCGTATCTATTTACGCTGAAACAAAATAATATTTCCAAAAACAATCCGAAAATTTTATGTTAAGTTTGAAGATCAAAGAGATACGTTAACTTCCTTTTTATATAACTTGTACAACGGAGGGAAGCCGTGATAGCTCGCTTTAAATTCAATATACTAAAAGCAACCTGAATTCAACTCCTTGTATCGGCAATATACGGAAACATTAATTGCAATTAAAAAAATATTAAACTGCTGACTTATTTCGTGTTCAGTGGTAAAAGAAAACTTGTCTGAGGAATCTGCATATCTTCGAAATAAAAATTAAAAAAAAAATCGAAGATATGGTCCACCAACCCGCAGTGGGTTCACGTGGTAGACTTATCTGGCATCGTGGTAGATTTACTTTAAACGGCAACCCTCTAAAAAGTACGAAACAAGTATAACATTTCTTGGTAAAAAAAAACTGACTTCAAATATCTCATTCGTTATCCGTTTTATGTTTGATTTTGAGGAGTTCCCTGATGTATTCCCCTGAGTATATTTCCCTGAGACCATTGAGACATACAGTCATTGAGTCCAAAGTTCACTGTCTATGAAATTAATATGGGACATGGGAGCTTAAACAAACCCAATGCATAAAGTATTTTTAAAATCATTTCAATGAGGGAGAAACAACCGAATTTATAACCTCCTTTTTTGAAATCGGTTGAATATAGTTAGTTTTTTATCTTAGTCATAATTTGCAAACATGTTTCTTTCTATTACTTTCAGCAATTTGACTCTACTATTTAAATTTATTGATACCCAATAATAATTTATTACTTCTAGTTTGACAGTCTTGGTTTTCTTCGTTCACAAACTATCAATATAGTTCGTAACTGACCGCATCTGCTTGTTTACTGTTTTTCTATTGATGTAAATAATATAATAGGCAGCGACGTTTGGGGTCTAGTTATGTATTACAATGTAGTTATATATAACTAGATCTCAGAGAAAGCATTGGAAGCTGACTTATTTTGATATCACAGGTGCTGCAGCTATACCAGATTTGTAAACTGAACCATGGTCTCATGATGGTTGGTCCATCCGGAAGCGGAAAGTCCACAGCATGGCGAGTGCTTCTCAAGGCATTGGAAAGGTACTATTGTAAATCAGTTTGTATAAATACATATGTATAGGTTTTTTAAAAAAAAGGAAGGATTGAAAAATCGAACTTTGTTTTTTTTTTTTTTGAAAAATTAAACTAAACATCCTATTTTCTTATGAAGCTCAGCTTACCAGCTATACCAATTCTCTTCCAGTTTATATGTAAGGCAACTCAAATTTTTGAGCAATTTTATTACGTAATGTTGAACAAATAGAAACGGAATAAAAACGGTAAATTTAAATGCGTCGTCATTATTATGGATATTTGTCAAGCGCCATGATTTACTGCGATCTCCGTTCGTTTCCAGATTCGAAGGCGTTGAAGGCGTCGCCCACGTGATCGATCCGAAGGCGATGTCGAAGGAGGCGCTTTACGGTGTACTAGACCCCAACACGCGCGAATGGACCGACGGCCTATTCACCCATATTCTAAGGTTAGTTAAAACTTAAAACAATCGCTTAGTCGCTTTCGACGGGTAGAATAATTTACGGCTAAGGTATGCTTGGCACGAAATATATTGAACGAGTCGAGTTAATTTCATTCTTAAAAAATGGTATATATTTTATTCCAATCGTAAAACATATCGTTTTGGACGTTTTTATTTCGAGATGAAAAATGTCGTTACTTAATAACATTTTCGATGTACAACACACGTACGGAATCTGATGTACAGGTGGCTGTTTTGCTCAGTTTAGGTGCGAGGTCAATCCTAACTGGCAGTCGCAACTAAAACGTGCGCATTTCCAACAGGAAAATCATCGACAACGTGCGCGGCGAGATCAACAAGCGCCAGTGGATCATCTTCGACGGCGACGTGGACCCCGAGTGGGTGGAGAACTTGAACTCGGTGCTAGACGACAACAAGCTGCTGACGCTGCCCAACGGCGAGCGATTGTCGCTTCCGCCCAACGTGCGGGTCATGTTCGAGGTGAGGTCGTGAAGCTAGTCGAACTGGACTCTAAACGCGACGAGTTTTTTTTTTTTTGAAGTCACAAAGTGGCAAACCAGCTGGCGGTTCACCTGATGTAAAGTGATAACCGCCGCCCGTGGACATTTGCATTACCCGTAGGGTTGCAGATGCGTTGTCACATTTTAATAGAATGGAACTCAGTTAGAGTTGAAGGCTAGACCACCTGCGGCTGTTCGCTATGATTATATCCGAGGGGTGCTGACTTGTGGCGAATGAGACCGCCGACAAAAATCAGCTACGTCATTCGTCGGATAGCGCATCAGTGACGCTCTGAAACATACTAAAACTAATCGATTAGTAGAATAATTAGTTCTGCTGCTTTCCCGCAACGTGTAAAGGTTTTTTTATGTTGTTGGTAAAGCCTTAAAATTAAGTTTTGGAGTACGAATGAGACTTATCTACTAGCAGTGAAATTTAGATTAATATCGTATAACGTCAATCATGAGATCGTTAATGAAAACCGTTTCATAATTCAATGTTCACCCTCTTAATTCAGTCATTAATCATCATCAGAAAAAGTTTGAAAATATAAATATACAAATAACAATAATAAATATATCTTATTAAAATTTGCTTCAAAAATAAAAAAAAGTAAGCCAGTTTAATTTTTAACAAATTTCTGAGGATTTTTACCAAACATTTATTCTTCTTCTTTTCGTGTCGATGGCAATATCTATTCACACGGTATCGGCCCAAAATTCAGCCCCAAAAGCGACACGATGGCAAACCCAATATTACAAACATTTACTAATAATTGATTTTAGTGATAAGCCAGACATTGCGTAATTTTTAAATTTTAGGAATTACTTTTGAAGTTTTTAAATTTTAGGTGCAAGATCTGAAATATGCCACTCTCGCCACCGTGTCCCGTTGTGGTATGGTGTGGTTCTCACAGGATGTGCTAACAACGGAGATGATCTTCGAAAATTATCTATTAAGGTATTTATAATGATTATAAAACTGTTTAAATAATGGTTAATGAAAAAACTACAATAAAATGCGAAGAATGTAGAATATAAATATTGTTCACCGAAAAAGTTGACTTTTTTGGTAACTAATTGAATCTTTCATCACCAGATTGAGGAATATACCATTGGAGGACGGTGAAGAGGACTCTTTCAGTATTGTAATGGCGGCGCCCTCAGCCGGAGGTGATCAGAACGCGACGGAAAACATTTTGTCTCCAGCTTTACAAGTACAATTTTTTTTTTTTTTTTATGAAACTAGTCAAGCAATTGAATCGTTAAAGCGATTAAATCATCTGATGTCTAGTGATATCCCCCGCCCATGGTCATCGACACCACCTAAGGAGTTGCAAATGCGTTCCTTGCTTTTAAAATAGTGGGCCGCGATTACCTTACTCATCAGACGAAACGCGACAGAATAATACTTCCACTTTACAACCACAATAGACGCCTGGCGTTCTATGCCCATACCCTATGTACATAGGAAGTCTGTCCAGTATATATGCGGTATGGCCGTTACCTATAATCGGCGCACTACTACCCATCGAATCTTGAAAGTATGAAGTCTAGTTACTTATACATAAGTCACTAATATATTTCATGTTAACGGTCACGTTCTCTTTCTAAAAGCATTTTAAAACAAGCTCAGTTGTGTATCACTGGTGCGTACACGGCATATTCAGGCCGTTAACCCACGCATGTGTCACAGACGCAGCGCGACGTGGCCGCCATCCTGCAGCCGCTGTTCTACGGCGACGGGCTGGTGGTGAAGTGCCTGGAACGGGCCGTCTCGCTGGACCACATAATGGACTTCACGCGCCACCGGGCGCTCTCCTCGCTGCACTCGATGCTGAACCGCGGCGTGCGCAACATCCTCGCCTACAACCGCCAGCACCCCGACTTCCCGATCACCAACGACCAGCTGGAGGCGTACGTGCCCAAGTGGCTGGTATACTCGCTGCTGTGGTCGTTCGCCGGGGACGCCAAGCTGAAGGTATGAACACAAAGTCAAATATCTCTATTCAATATAGAAGCATTACACTTACTTATTGATTGTCCTATAACTCTACTGAGAAGAACCGACGAAAGAAACTCAGCGGGACATTTTTTATTTTAACTTCACAAAAAAACCTGTACATTTTATTAAATTCCTCTTGAAAGAGCCTGGAACAATCAATTAGATTTCCAGAGTGTGTTGTCATTCAAATAATCCCTTATACTATAATAGCCATTAATTCACAAACATTCATTTACAAGATTTTTGAATTTAGCAACAGACTCATTTTGAACATTTTCTGGGATTTTGTTGTATACATTGTCGCATAAAAGATTTACTTATTCTACGCAATCTAGTTGAGGGTAGAAAGATGAGTTTCATAACTCTGAGGCGCAGTTGCCAAGGTACTGGCTTCGGCGGCGGCGGTCGTGGCTTCGATTCCCACACGGGACAACTATTTGTTTGACCCGCATATAATTGTTTTGGTTCTGAGGGTTTGTCCGCGTGAAATTTATTTTTGTAAAACGACATTCCACAGCATTATGATATCTTACAGGAAGGAAACTCCCACCTTAAAGACACCCGAACTTGCATTTTATTTCACACATTTGTATCACATATATGGGGCATTCCACGCGAAGCGGACAGGTAAAAAAAGTTGATGTTTCCGATTTTAGTAATATTTGATTATGTTATACCTATATGTGTCCTCAATCCAGATACAAAATATTTTTACAGTATAAAATGTAGTTTACGATTTACAGAGCTTTAAAAATGTGACTAACCGGCAGGTATGCGCCACTTCGAATCCCATTATCCGGTATTGAAAAGATAAATGGAAATAAATGAAGTAGTCAAGTGTATGCTTAATTTAATGAGCTTTCTAATTGCATTTTTGGATATTAAAAAAAAATTTTTTTTGGAAAAAAAGCATGTTCAAACTTTAAACTTGAATTTCACAAAGTTGGACCACTTAAATTTTTTTTTTTTCTAAAACTAGTCCTTGCCAAGTTGCATAATGGGCCGAGAAGTCGTTTAGGAGCTAGGCCATCTACAGTGTCGAAGGGTAGCGCCGGTGCCCGGATCGCGCCTACTGACAGTTAACGCGAGATTACAAAAACATCCAACAGAATATTTTGTTTACCTAATTGAGTTTAATAAATCATTTGATCTTACTTAGATGTACTTTAATTTACAATAAAACGACGTTTTTATGTTTCGATTAATGTTTATTAAAAAAAATTCAATTTTATAATCTTCACTTTTACTCAACATTTTAAAATTTGACATCAATGTATTATTGCAGATAAGGATAAGAGCAAAGCTTAAATTATGGAGAAATTGTAATGCTATAGGACAATTTAAATCACGACAGATAATTTTTATACCTTTCGAAATCTTTAGCATCAATATCTTCAAATCAAAACATTAGTCCAAAAAGATATATTAATATTACTGACGGGGAACAACACTTTTAAAATAGATTTAGTATTATTAAATTCTATTTCAAAAATGATTTGTGTACAGAGGCGGAATTTTATCTTCACGTTACTCACATGGCAAAGGGACGGGTGACGGTTTTGTAAAAAACATTATAACACCCCAGTATTTGTATAAATCGCACCGTGCATAACGTTCTGTGGTCACATAGAACGAATTTGATTTTATCGTCGGAAAGTCTTAATTATTGTCTACGCTTTCAGATAACATTTTTTTTTCTTCTCACTTATAGATATTGACATTCAGAATAGAACAACGATCTATCTGATTTGTGCTCCGCAGTACAAGGACATATGTATGTGTATGTTTAGACACTGTTTTCTGACTAGACTATCGCTAATACTAATAGTGCCACATGCGTTTATGTCATACATATTTTCTGAGTTTTTAGTAGAACAACGTTATATAAACGTGTATATATGAACTTGTGACCCATCAGTTTTTGCCATTTTCCGTAGGAAAACGTCACTATTACACATGAAACCTCTTATTTCCTATATAATTATTAAATCAAAAAGTATACTGTATGTTTATATACCTAATAATATTACAAACCTCAAAAATTTGAATAGCAACTGCTATGTATAAGAAAACTATAACCAAAATAAAAAAAAATATAATTTGAATCGGCCGTCCTGAACAATTACAATTTTGCAGATGTCACGTTCTACGCAAGGTGCGAAATGGCTTCAATATCAATGCAGCAAAGTACTCTTACTATGTTTATATATGAAAAGAGGCTAAAAATCAGATTTGACTCCTCAATGACAATATCAAATTCAAAAAAATACCATGCCTTCGTTCTGTCTGCTGAAGGCACTATGATAAAACGCAGAAATAACATGATAATTCTTTAATAAACATTTATAAGTAATCGAAACATAAAAACGTCGTTTTATTGTTAATTAAAGTACATCTAAATAAGATCAAATGATTTATGAAACTCAATTAGGTAAACAAAATATTCTGTTGGATGTTTTTGTAATCTCGCGTTAACTGGCAGTAGGCGCGATCCGGGCACCGGCGCGCTACCCTTCGACACTGTAGATGGCCTAGCTCCTAAACGACTTCTCGGCCCATTATGCAACTTGGCAAGGACTATCTATACACTATTAACTAGTTTTAGAAAAAAAAAAATTAAAGTGGTCCAACTTTGTGAAATTCAAGTTTAAAAAGTTTGAACATGATTTTTTTCCAAAAAAAATTTTTTTTTAATATCCAAAAATGCAATTAGAAAGCTCATTAAATTAAGCATACAATTGACTACTTCATTTATTTCCATTTATCTTTTCAATACCGGATAATGGGATTCGAAGTGGCGCATACCTGCCGGTTAGTCACATTTTTAAAGCTCTGTAAATCGTAAACTACATTTTATACTGTAAAAATATTTTGAATCTGGATTGAGGACACATTAGGTATAACATAATCAAATATTACTAAAATCGGAGACATCAACTTTTTTACCCGTCCGCTTCCCGTGGAATGCCCCATATACAGATAAATAAAATTTTGAGTGTTTGTTTGTAATATTAAAATAACCGTTTTTTACTAAATGCGTATGGATTTACACTGTCATTAATACACACGGTACATATAACAAAATATTTTTTTTATAATTTTTTCTGTCTTTTTTTTTTTGTTCCAATTAATAGCTTAGGCTACTTTTATTTTATACATTTTATTCATTTTAAAGTCCACGAGGACGAAGCCGCGGGCACAGCTAATGTTTCATGTAAACGTTAGTGTTAAAACTACATCTTTTAACACACAAATTTATTGAAAGTAAACAGCGAGAGTACAATTTTTTGATTACTGTCACTAATGTCATATCTAATTTTTTCCTTTTTCTGTTATTAATAAAAACAGGTTGTAAAGTCAATATAGTCGAATGATCGTAACCAGATAAGAAGAATTTTACATTAAACAGTTAGCTTTCTGCACTACGTATATACTTTAAATATGGAAAAACTAACACTCCAACATGCGTGCCATATTCCTGAAAATAGTTCGGGTGTTTTCGTTTAACTTATTAATATATAAAATTTAACTTAACAGGATCGAAACGAGTTGGGCGATTTCATTCGATCTGCGAGTACTATGATGCTACCCAACTGCGGTGCGAACCAGCACATCATCGATTTCGAGGTTTGCATATAATTTTATTATATGTATATGTCGGCTATTAGCATTTCTTTATTTCTGAATATTAGTTGACATATACAATATTAAACAAAAGCTGTATCTTCTTTTACTACATTTTCTTTGTCCGAATAGAATGTGTTCTATTCTTAATCTAATGTAAAAATGTTTAAATATCACACACTACCAAAAGTGATATACTATACTTGACTTTTTTTCCAATATGGGGTATATTAACTATATCAATTGTTATGTATAATGTATAGTGTAATGATGTACTGAACTATATCAATTGTTATATTTGTAAGTAGTGATAAACATGTGTTGTCAGGTGTCCATAACCGGAGAATGGGTGCCGTGGTCCGCAAAAGTGCCCCAGATCGAGGTGGAGACCCACAAGGTGGCCGCTCCCGACGTAGTGGTGCCGACTCTGGACACCGTGCGACACGAGGCCCTGCTTTACACTTGGCTAGCGGAGCACAAACCCCTAGGTATTTAAAAGTTCACTGCGTAGGGCCAAGCAACAGTCTTTGCTATTGCACAAATGTGTAGGTCCGTCCGGGTAATTACTACAACCTCACAGAAGACGTTAAGAAATGTTACACTTCTTCGTTTAGTCTGGTGTGGCAAATATCCATGGGCGGCGGTTATCATTTAACATCGGGTGAACCTCCAGCTCGTGTACCACCTTCGCACATAAAAAAAGTAAATTTGTAGCCGAAGACAATTCGATCCTTGGTTATTTTGTTAGGTTTCATTTTATCTATATAAATTATTATGTAAATGAATGTATGGTAAACTTAACAGTAACATTTCCTAAATATATTATAATATAATATTTGTATTAGGGACATACATAATTCTAATATTCTAATTTAATTTAGCAAAAAAAAATACTTTGAAATACAAGCACCGATAGAAACAAAGTTGTATTTGTTTCATATTCATTATCCTACTGCCCTTATCATATTGTGAGTGGTTTTGGCTATGTTTTGCGACCGGGAAAATAGATAAATAGAAAACAAATTACATTTAGGCTCATATACACTCAAACATTCAAACTTGTTCAGTGCTATGCGGTCCCCCCGGCTCTGGGAAAACGATGACCCTGTTCTCGGCCCTCCGAGCCTTGCCCGATATGGAGGTGGTGGGGCTCAACTTTTCGTCCGCCACCACGCCTGAGCTGCTACTGAAGACTTTCGACCACTACTGCGAGTACCGCAAGACCCCTAACGGCGTAGTGCTGGCGCCAGTACAGGTAAACACTTATGCACTTAAAAGATATTAGTTCATATTATAACTAAGAAGCTATTTCGCCGTTGGTATTTCGAATTATATTTACGAGGGAGGCATTATTACAAAATACAACTGAATATGTATCACCGGTGTATGTATCGACTAGTTTCGGTACATACACCGGGCTTACGCGAGTTCAGTCGTCTAAATATTACTTTAATAATGTCTCACGAAAGTTTTAATAATTTACTAATGCAGTTGTAATAATATAGTTATTGGACTGTTTAAAGTTGAAAATATAACATTATTTTATTTATAGCTCGGCAAATGGCTAGTGCTATTCTGCGACGAGATTAACCTGCCGGACATGGATCAATATGGCACTCAACGAGTCATCTCATTCCTTCGTCAGCTGCTTGAACACAAGGGCTTTTATAGAGCAAGTGGTGAGATATAGGGCATTTTACTAAACTTCACATAGTATACTATAAACAGATCTCAGCGATTATGTACTTAATAACTAAGTTGGTGAAAATTTAAGTTTCATTTGTACAAATTGTAAAAATATATGTGTTGGTACAAATTTCTATTTACCGTCGTTATATTTCGCAGATCACTCCTGGGTTCACTTGGAGCGCATACAGTTTGTAGGCGCATGCAACCCGCCCACAGACCCCGGCCGAAAACCGTTATCTCACCGTTTACTCAGACACGTGCCGGTTATCTACGTCGATTATCCGGGAGAGACGTCATTGGAACAGGTCCTCTGTCAAACTGTATTGTAATAAATAATATAAATTACATAAAACAATCGCATGATGAAAACAGTAATATTGATAAATGTGTATTCAACAACAATCTTCAATTATGCTAGAATTTTCATTTTAAGAAACACGCAAGCATCTTAAATTTGCTATAAAGGCCTGTGAAGGATGAAGATACCAAAACAATAATCATTATATATTGATTTAACGCAAGAATGAATACGAGAAAAAAAACCCCGCTCCGTCTACACTCGTAGCACTGTGCAACTTCGTCTCCATTCGCAGATCTACGGCACGTTCACGCGCGCAATGCTACGCATGCAGCCGGCGCTACGCGGCTACGCGGAGCCGCTGACGCAGGCGATGGTGCATCTGTACCTGGCCTCGCAGGAGCGCTTCACGCAGGACATGCAGCCGCACTACGTGTACTCGCCGCGCGAGATGACGCGCTGGGTGCGCGGCATATGCGAGGCCATCAGGTAGCTGCGCGCCGAGGGAATGTCGACCTTGCCGCTATGACTCAAAGAACACTATCGAATGCAGTTCATTACTCCCTTATTTTTGTGCCATTTTCAAGAGGCCAAATGCGACAATCGTTTCGCACTTTTTCTACATATTTTAAGGCCAAATGCGCTGTAATTGAGAACTTTTTTTTGTTTGGTTGAACTGATGTGAAGTGGTAACCGCCGCCCATCGTCATTTTTATTATTAAGACTGAAAAAAATAATATGCATATAAACTAACCAGCTAATATGGTACGATCCTAAATTTTGCTCTTGTTAAAAAATAACATGTATGTTTTTAAATAAAAATTAATGAAATTGATCTAATATAAAAAGTAAATCTCATTAAATACTTTTAACTCTGTATTTCTTCACAGGCCTCTAGATAATCTAAGCGTTGAAGGCTTGGTACGCCTTTGGGCGCACGAAGCTTTACGTCTCTTCCAAGATCGACTTGTAGAAGATTCCGAAAGGCAATGGACCGACGAGAACATTGACAACGTCGCAATGAGATTCTTCCCAGGTAAAAATCAATAGTTTTCTTTATTAATAAACTGTCGCTATATCATTTTTGATATTCTAAATGGACATTTAATCTTAACTATTAACTTTAAAACGCAGGCATTAACCGGGAGCAAGCGTTAGCTCGGCCGATCCTGTACAGCAACTGGTTGAGCAAAGACTATGTGCCAGTTCAAAGAGATCAACTACGCGAGTACGTCAAAGCGAGACTTAAGGTATACCCCAATCGCACATTATTATGCTATTTTGTTAATTGAAAAGAAATATTTCATGTGAGGGGGGTGAAGTAAATAAAATCTTTACTAAAAAAAAGTATATATGAGAATGTGAAAGTATGTAATTGATGCAAACTAGTTGTGTACAAATTCTTTATTTCTAAATACCTAAAGAATATTAAGGCTTTCGGTATTTTTATTATGAAGTCTATGTTGTGTTATTGAGGGTTAATAATCATTTTAAATAGTTTAGAGATATCCTACTCTCTGAGGAAGTCTCTGGACTGTCTCGTGCTCCTCGGTGAAGGAAAACATCGTAAAAAAGCTTGCATAATTTGGAAATAATAATACAAGAAACATTCCTAAGATACATGTAGTCTGTGCTCTTATACCCTCTCTACAGATAAACAACTAATATAATATCCCCTTTCTATTGTATTTTGTGTGGAAGAGGTTGGGTAGTAAGTCCGATCTAGAAGAACTGTGATGTAAAAGATCTGTTGTAGTCTTCCCTTAGAAAACATTGCCCCTTACTGTAGGATAACATTATCCTGTGTTGTAAGGACGTTTAACACACATAAGTTCCATGTGGACAAACACCCTGATTGGAAACAAATATCCGTCAGTCACACAAATAGTTGTTTCGTGTGGGAACCGAACCCACGACCCCCCAGTGCCGAAGCCAGCAACTGATCTAATATCGGCCTGGCCGCAGGTGTTCTACGAGGAAGAGCTGGACGTGCCGCTGGTGCTGTTCGACGAGGTGCTGGACCACGTGCTGCGCATCGACCGCATCTTCAGGCAGCCGCAGGGCCACCTGCTCCTCATCGGGGTCTCGGGCGCCGGCAAGACCACGCTCAGCCGCTTCGTCGCCTGGATGAACGGACTCAGCATCTTCCAGATAAAGGTCAGCTCACTCGGTTATAGCGTCAGTCACCCTGCAGGTCCAATCCTGATAACGCCAGATTATCTATAACAAATTCACATTTAAGTTTTATCTTCATCCTAGTCTGCTTAGCACAAAAAAAAACAAAATTAATCGTAAACACCATTATCACTTACATTTATTTTGAACACTTGCGTTCTTTTGTTTGTACTATCTAGTTTCGCGTGTTGTTTTCTTAAAACGATTGTCTTCTGTTCGACGAAGTTTCTTTCTCTCGCAATTATCTGCCATTGATACATATTGAAATTTTAGTCTTACTAAGCCTATCATACTAAATAACCATATATTTGTGTATTTTCAAATCATCAATCAAATACATTGCTTTAGAATTAATATAGTCCAATGTTCAAAGTTGTTTCTGTTACACTTTCTTTGATCTTTGTGTATAATGTAAAATCTATATGCACATTGTTTTGTTAAAAAATGGTATTAGTTTTAATAAATTTTTTATTAATTTTAAAGTTTTTTATAGTGTTAATCTCTACACTTAAGATTGAACATTAAAACATGTAGAAAAAGTACGAAAAGATTGTCGCCGCTGTGGGAATCGAACCCACGTCTTCGGCATTCGCCGACCTGACGCTCTAGCCACTAAGCTAAACGGCTGATAGCCACAGCGACGAAAATCTTAACGCCATCTTTCTACATTGTTATTTAGCATTTGCAGCAATGCTTGGCGCATCTATTGTTATATCCTTTTCAGCATACATACAATTTCGAATATCGTTTTACAACGATAATTCGAACGAGAGATGTCGCCATTTTTTTATAAATTTTAAAGTTTTTTTTATAGTGCTAATCTCTGCGCTTAAGATTGAACATTAAAACATAGAAAAAGTACGAAAAGATTGTCGCCGCTGTGGGAATCGAACCCACGTCTTCGTCATTCGCGGCCTGACGCTCTAGCCACTGAGCTAAACGGCTGATAGCCACAGCGACGAAAATCTTAACGCCATCTTTCTACATTGTTATTTAGCATTTGAAGCAATGCTTGGCGCATCTATTGTTATATCCGTTGTTATATCAGCCGTTTAAAATTTTTGTTTTAAATTTTTTTATTGTTTTCCTCTCCTGTTTCAATGTTAGTGAAAAATTGCCACTATTACCACATTCTAAGATAGTTATAGAATCATTGGATAAATAAATTTTAAACCATTCATATGATAAACACATCGAAAGCATTCATACTTATTGGGTACAGGTGCACAACAAATACACTGGTGCGGACTTTGACGAGGATCTGCGCTCGGTGCTCCGACGGGCCGGTTGTCGTGACGAGAAAGTCGCCTTCATACTGGACGAGTCAAATGTGCTGGACAGCGGCTTCTTGGAGAGAATGAACACGCTGTTGGCCAACGGAGAGGTCAGTGCAATAGGCAACAGTCTGCGGTTGTTATTGACAAGATGTTCTCTTTCAAAAACGATGACTAATGTGGCTTTCTCTATTTCAGGTTCCGGGCTTGTTTGAAGGCGACGAATTCGCTGCGTTGATGACACAGTGCAAAGAAGGCGCCCAAAGGGAAGGATTGATGCTGGACTCGAACGATGAGTTGTACAAATGGTAATAACAACTGCCGCTTTCTTATTTGTGTCGTAAATAGAATGTAAGTTACAAGAAACGCAAATGAAGCAGTCTCAAGCAAAACGCAATGCTTATTTTGCAACTGAGCATGGTTAAGAATCCAACCTACTATGTATGAAATATATAAATATGAAATTAATTTATTCAACAGTATACAACAAATATTTTAATCGTTAAAAAACTGACCGACTGTAATGGATGTATCTAAGTAAGTTTTTTTTTTTTAGGTTTACTGGACAAGTAATGCGTAACCTGCACGTGGTGTTCACCATGAACCCGTCCTCCGAAGGGCTGAAAGACCGAGCGGCAACGTCTCCAGCTCTGTTCAACAGATGCGTGCTCAACTGGTTCGGCGATTGGAGTGACGGTGCTCTGTTCCAAGTAATGTTGCAACTAATGACGACACTATATAAAAATTCCGCGCTAAGATACACTAACGAGCATTAGACACGAGTGACATTTTAATGGAAAAACAAAACGTGTGTATACTTACGTACGCGCGTAAGGTGTTTATACTACTTGAGCGTAACAAAAGGAAAACAATTAAGAATTTCATCCCCTGTACCAGTATTCTTCGTTTGTTTAACCTAATTGACAACGATTATAACTTGGAAATATAGGTAAGTGTCACAAAGTTGTTCTGGGTCGCCCTGGTGTAAGTAATACCGTGAAGCTGGTCGCTATGCAACCAACTTCATCATGTCGCTTTTTGGGGGTCGGTGTACGCGCGCAGTGGACAACGAGTTTCAATCTGCTGCTGTTTCGGCTGCTGCACCCAAGTCTCCAGGGTTGCCTCTAATTAACCGACTTCAAAAGAAGGAAGTTCTCAATTCGACTCTATTTTTATGTTTGTTACCTTTGACTGAGGGAACCGATTTTAATGATTCTTTTTTTATTTGAAAGCTGGTGCTTCCCATGTGGTCCCATATTAATTTCATTGGAATTGACTCGAGCTCCGGCTATCTTCGGAGTTAAAATAAATTTAGGGAACTCCTGATAATCAATCATAATATGAATACAGAGCATCTCGCTTATTTGAAGTCGGTATTATTTTTCGTTACGACGATTGGCCCGAACGCGCAGGTGAACAAAGAGTTCCAATCTAGATGCTACTGCACCCCAATCTCCAGGGTTGCCTTTAATTACAATTGCCTCGAACGAGCAAGTGGGCAAGGAGTTCCAATCTAGATGCTACTGCACCCCAATCTCCAGGGTTGCCTTTAATTACAATTGCCTCGAACGAGCAAGTGGGCAAGGAGTTCCAATCTAGATGCTACTGCACCCCAATCTCCAGGGTTGCCTTTAATTACAATTGCCTCGAACGAGCAAGTGGGCAAGGAGTTCCAATCTAGATGCTACTGCACCCCAATCTCCAGGGTTGCCTTTAATTACAATTGCCTCGAACGAGCAAGTGGGCAAGGAGTTCCAATCTAGATGCTACTGCACCCCAATCTCCAGGGTTGCCTTTAATTACAATTGCCTCGAACGAGCAAGTGGGCAAGGAGTTCCAATCTAGATGCTACTGCACCCCAATCTCCAGGGTTGCCTTTAATTACAATTGCCTCGAACGAGCAAGTGGGCAAGGAGTTCCAATCTAGATGCTACTGCACCCCAATCTCCAGGGTTGCCTTTAATTACAATTGCCTCGAACGAGCAAGTGGGCAAGGAGTTCCAATCTAGATGCTACTGCACCCCAATCTCCAGGGTCGCCTCTAAATACGATTGGCTCAAACCCGCATGTGGGCAAGGAGTTCCAATCTAGGAGCTACTTCACCCCAATTTCCAGGGTCGCCTCTAAACACGATTGCATCGAACGCGCAGGTGGACAATGAGTTCCAATCTAGATGCTACTGCGCCCCAATCTCCAGGGCCGCCTCTAAAACGATCGTCTCGCAGGTGGGCAAGGAGTTCACGAGCCGCATGGACCTGGACTCGGCGGAGTACGCGCCGCCGGAGCTGTTCCCCGCGGCGTGCGGCGAGCTGGGCGCGCGGCCGTCGCACCGCGACGCGGTCGTCAACGCGTGCGTCTACGTACACCTCACGCTGCACCGCGCCAACGCGCGCCTCGCCAAGCGCGCCAACCGCACCATGGCCATCACGCCGCGGTACGTGCGCCGCTCTCTCCACGGTTCCGCACCCGAAGGGTCGAACGGGACCCTGTTAATTAAGCTCCGCCGTCTGTCACCAGGCTGTATCTCATGTTGGAATCTTCACAGACGATGTATTTCTGTTTCCCTAACAACAAATATTAAAAAACATAATAGAAAAGTCAACTCCGCATCTTAAATTAAAATGTTTTTATTAATCCTATAGGTATTTTGATACTGGGTTTTAGCACCGGGTATACGGCCATACCCGTACCTTTGAGGCCGGGTACAGAATGTTGCAGGTATATCTCATGGCTAGTGGTATACTTACCCGAACGGACCTTTCCATTCGTACAACATTGTAGACTGCTGTGTGGCCCGGCCCTACCGTCATCCAATTTCCACATTGCATTTTCTTATACAACAATAAGCGTCTAATTGACCTTATTGAACCCTCTCGAATTTTAAATTATTATTTGTTTAATCTTTCCAACATGTAGAAAAAGTACGAAAAGATTGTCGCCGCTTTGGGAATCGAACCCACGTCTTCGGCATTCGCGGCCTGACGCTCTAGCCACTGAGCTAAACGGCTGATAGCCACAGTGACGAAAATATTAACGCCTTCCTTCTACATTGTTATTTAGCATTTGAAGCAATGCTTGGCGCATCCTGTTTTAATGTTCAATCGTAAGTGCAGAGATTAGCAGTATAAAAAAAAACTTTAAAATTTAATCTTTCCAAGTTGTACCATCAATTACTGTCAACTGGACTTTATAATTTTGGTATCATTAGTAGTCGAGGGCGTGGCTAGGCCGGCAGACAACGATGTCGCACTATTTATTCAACGCTAATGTACTACTTCTATATTATAGTTGTACTTTCAACAACACAGCAAAATAATGATTTCATGTGTTAACGCGAATGCGTTTTGCTTTTTTCTGTGTGAGAAAGTGGCAAACGAGCTGGCGGTTCACCAGATAATAAGTGATAACTGCCACCCATGGAAATTTGCAACACTCGTAGATGTATTGCCACCTTTGAATAAAGTGGACCCCGACTACCTCACTCACGAGACGGAACTCAGAATTGTAACACTTCTACTTCACGCCGGTCTTTTGTGAGGTCGTGGTACTAACACGGACGAACCTGGCGGTTCGTGCAACAGCGAACACTGTTGCTTGGCACTACCACAGTGAAAAGTTTTCGCGTTCGATTAAAAATTAAACTCAATGCAATCCGTTTTGTTTTACCAACACAACATCATAACAATTTGATATCTTCAACTGTTCAGCCACTACCTGGATTTCATCCAGCAAATGGTGAAGCTGTACGCGGAGAAGCGCGCCGATCTCGAAGAGCAGCAGCTGCACTTAAATGTCGGTCTCGGCAAGATCGCCGAAACGGTCGAGCAGGTCGAAGAGATGCAGAAGAGTCTCGCCGTCAAATCGCAGGTAACGTACAGCAAAAATGAAATAAACATTATTGAACAGGGTCAGGAACAGGTATTGCGAGTCTAAATTAATGAACACGGCTTTATGTTGAACTGGACGTTTATTCGCAAACTTGAAAAATAATTACAACCGTTGCGACGTAACGAAATCGTATGTGCACACTACAAAAGCGGACGAACAGAGAGAGTGGGGTCACTGCCCGCCCAATATATAGGTGGAAAGGATGATGCAATATTACATGTACCTTACATAATTAAAAGGACATTTTGCGAACTACCTTCTACTATAAATTATAATTTATATTAGTAATTTATATAAGTATGTATTAACAATGAATAATTTAAAGAAAATAAAACTAATACATGAAAATAAAGAATCTAAAAAAAGTATTTACATTATAATATGTGCGTCGCCAACAATTATATTCATTCAACATGTCTAGAAATACATGATCTTATGTACATTATATATAAATAAAATAGAGAAAAGTTTAGTTATATTTTTCAACCGCTTTCGTTTTTTTGGGTTAGATAGTTTGTCAAAAAAAAAATAGATGATGTGAATCTAATACTTGTCTATTACTTCAGGAACTGCAAGCCAAGAACGAGGCCGCAAACGCCAAACTTCGCCAAATGATCAAAGATCAACACGAAGCCGAGAAGAAGAAAGTCGAAAGCCAAGAAATTCAGGTTTAACACATTAAAGTACCATCCTAAACACCTTTCGCAACCTTTAGATTTTTGCCAATAACGTTTGACAATGTAATAAAACATTTTCTTAACTTCTAAACTATGGCAAAAGTATTTTTCAGTTTGTCTAAAGAAAAATGTAAAACGCCTGTATGCAGAAATCCGAAGACGCTGAACTTTATTACTAATAAACCAATGTTGTATGTTCCGTGTTATCAGACTTCAGTGAACATATAAATTTTCCCAGGTCGCTTTAGAAAAGCAAACGAAGGAAATAGAGGCGAAGCGACGTGACGTCATGGCGGACCTAGCTCAAGTAGAGCCCGCTGTTATCGAGGCGCAAAACGGTTTGGTTCCTTTCTCATTTTGCATCACGATTTACTTATTACATTCACCGTCTAAAAATTGTAAAACTCACTTTTATTATACACTTGTACTTGGTTTTTTTGCAGTTACTCATGTCAGTGGTTACATGTATAGTTTATAGATATTATTTTTACATGTAAGTGGTTTAGATTAATTTAATTGACGAGTATTGTCGATGAAATTACAAAAATAAAAAGGATAAACAAGTTTCTTAAAGAGGATGAATATAATAATTTGAACTACTTACTTAGTCACACAGTATATGCTTTGTAGTATGAGCTTGTTGCGAAATTATTTCAATCGCATACAGATTCTAAATGTGCCTTCCTTTATTAAAATAAAAAATGAAATATGGGATATAAATGTGTACCAAAATTAGCTCCGTAGTAGTACTTTAACTGTTGGTACTTTTGAATTATTAGCAGTAATGCCAGTGTGGAATGTGATCATAAATTAAAAAGACATAATTTTAATCAATACGCAGTCACTATGTAATGTGTACAAGCTAACGTTTAACGTGTTTGTGTTCACCCACAGTAGCCTTAGAAAACATTAAACCCTATGTTAAAAAGGTTCAATCTTCATTACTTTACAATTGAGAAGCGTTTTAACTATTACATACGCCTTTTATTAGAAGTCTTTTGTAGTCTTTTGTTGGGGTAATTAATGTTTGGTTTAATAAGGAAGCCAGTTGGGCTACAAAGTATGCATACGATAATTTTTTGGATAGAAACCTTAACTGAGTACGTCCATAAGGTTAAATTGAGTCAGTTGTGCTACAAAGTATACATATAAACATTTGGATAGAAATTTTTGCTGAATACCTCCAGAAAGTTAAATGTGATGGCCCCACATAACAGCTGTCCGCTCGATCAAGAAGCAGCAACTGGTCGAAGTGCGGTCCATGGCCAACCCCCCCTCCGTGGTCAAAATGGCGCTCGAGTCGATATGCACCCTGCTTGGGGAAAAAGGGGACACTTGGAAGGGGATCAGATCGGTCGTCATGAAGGACAACTTCATATCGACCATTGTTAACTTCGAGACTGAGAACATCACGTTAGTTTTGAAATGTTTACGACGGATTGGGGCGGCATGTTGTTCGTTTGCCACTTTTTCGTCGACGAAATTAAAAGGATGCAGCTAGCAAAAGATTCAGCTTTTGTTCTCAAATAATACCAATTTTATTTTCTAACTGTTCTAGAAACAACATGCCGTCCTATATCTTATAAGTTCGTATTAATATTTTTTCTTAATAAATCAAGTACTTATTGTTTTAACGTAAAGTAAGTAGATAGCGACATTACCTCAGTCTATATTTATTGGCAAAAACATTGTAGTGTATCTATCTGTGCATTAGATTGTGACTCCTATTTAGCTGCGACCGCATACCGTGCATCGTTATCGTGCGTACAGTAAGACCACACTACCGTCATGAATGAAGCTAGAGTACCCCACTGAACATGAATAATGTAAATACGCTAAGCTTACCGCATACGTGACATGTTATTAATATACAATGTTCCAATAACGCTATGTACACCTTGTAACTAAAGACTGCATCGACGTACGGCACACTAATTGCAACGATTTTCGTATGTGACTAACACGCTGAGCAGGAGCGACGTTGCCAAACGGCGTGCCCGTCGGGCACGATAGCGCTAAACGCCTGTTGTCTCTCTCTTTCTCGTCCTCTCTCGCTCTCGCTTCGCTGGTGGCGGACGCGACGCGCCCCCGACGCCCGGCCGGTTACACTGTACAGCCGTGAAATCGATAAAGAAGCAGCATTTGGTGGAAGTGCGCTCTATGGGCAACCCGCCGGCGATCGTGAAGGTGGCGCTCGAGTCGATCTGCCTGCTGCTCGGCGAGAACGCCACCGACTGGAAGGCGATACGCGCCGTCATCATGCGCGAGAACTTCATCAACAGCATCGTCTCCAACTTCTCCACCGAGGACATCACGTGAGCACCGCTTCTATACCTGCCCCCTCCCCCTTTCCCTCCTCCCCCTGTCCTCCATCGATCGGAGATCATCCACCTCTTCCAACGTTCTCACATTGATTTCTCGATCACTGACGTCATCGATTCACGTTATTGAAATCCTACGGGCGATTTTTCTTTCTTTTGTGTTCGACATTCATGGTACTCCTAACACCTGGTTTTTAATTTTTTCAACATTTCTCCAAAATGTTTTCACGTCATTAAACCGTCCTTTTTTATCTTGTTGATATATGCTAACGATATATTCTTAACGTCAATTATTACATTGTGCCATCCATTTCCTCTCCTGCGCCTTTTTTCTTCTTTTCCATAGATGTCTTGCCCCTTCGTACCCCCATACCCATGAAGTCGTTTTACTTAAAGGTGGTGGCACACTTTTCGATACCATCAGGTTTATCAATGAATGCCAGTTATTTCACCCCACGATGGGAAGAAACTAAAATCTGAAAGATTGCGAAACGAAAACAATTTATATAAAATGTAAATTCCGTGGAAGCCGAAGCACGGATTTTAAGAGTTCTCATGAATAATCCGTCGCAATATCGATTATATCGATCCACAATTCAAGAGTTAATATCAGCCAAGACATATTGAGACAGTTAAAATGTTTAGCTGATGGTATCAATTTGAAATCGACAAGAGAACCGTTTGATGGCATGCGAGGGTTGTATGGCTGGGAATGTTTTACACATTTTTTGCATTTTTTTTTTTTTTAATTTCTCTAACGCTTTAGCTTGCTTGTTGCATGGAACGACGAGCAATCGGTAAATTACACGTCGTGTGACATCTTTTTAAGTTTTTATGGTTATCACTTTAAAGAACTGAAAAGATTTCACCTGCTTCTTGGCATGGTCTTGGTGTTGGGACTATATTACAATATGGTGATGGATTTGCTTGGTTATGAGACTTGATACTTTTTTTCTAGACTGTACTCGTTAATGGTTAAAGGTTATCTGCGAATAGAATTAACGGCAATAATTTAATCTTACACAAAACATAAAAACTCACACACAAATTTGCAATTTTCAGTGAGTGCCGAAGCAAACAATACGAAATAACTGTTATTTCTGTTACAACTCTCGGTACATGTTTCATTTAATAAATACTGCATGAATGTATTTGCCAATAAATAATGTTCCATCAAAGCATTGACACCAAGAGAGCCGTTGAAAAGCACACTGTGACAGTGAATTGACTGGCTCCTTGTCGTCCATTTTTCATCCTTCTTTTTTTTTTTTTTTTTTTGCTGTCCACACTGCCCTCCGATCACTGGAAGGTTTTATGTGTGTTTTTTTTTTTCGTATTATTTTGTTTTTTGTGCCGGTGGAAAGTGACGTCCCTTTAAACATGACCAGATCCTAAATGAACTTGTAACAATATAGCGTGCATGATTTTTGGTCGGACTTTTCATCATATCCCAAATGGTATGGAGTATCTGTCCTCGGTTTTGTCCAATCTTCGTCAAAAAATAGTGCGATGATATTAATCAGTTACTTGTGTTAGCGACGACGTACGCGAGAAAATGAAGACGCGATACCTCAGTAACCCAGATTACAACTTCGAGAAAGTGAACAGAGCCAGTATGGCATGCGGTCCTATGGTCAAATGGGCCATCGCTCAGGTAAAGTGCCTATCATTAAATTTTTTTATTCACTATATTTAAAAAAATAATGGGTCGGTGATAACATTCCGTCGTCCCTACTTCGTACACAAAAAAGCTTTTTACATTGTATACTTAACCACACGTTGTTTCCCGGAATATCACGTCATATGTTTGGTATAACTTACAAAATATTATATAACTTTCATTTACTGGTGGTACAGTATTAAAGGCTTCTAAACTGGCAACCATGATCTTTCATAACATCGGCGTGAAGTATTTATACCTTAGCGTTTCGTCCGGCGAGGCCCTGTATCTCTGGTTTTATGAGTGGTTTTTGGCAGTTGTTCTAGAAGTAAACAAAAGTAAAAGCCTATTAAGTGGCCTACTAAGGCACTGACTATACCATACGATCCCCGGCATATTGGCATGTTTCTTATACCATCGAAATATTTTTAGTGTGGAACACGTGACGTATCAGCACCTAAAATTGCAACTAACTATTTCATTGGTGCCGGCACCGGAGTGATAACTGCTGCTCTAGTAAATTGAATTGAAATCGAGCTCCCGGATACTACCCAGAGCTACCACATAATTGATTTCCTATTGTATATACAGCATGTCATTACCATCGCGACAATAAATGAACAAACGTCTAACGCTACTTGTCAATAATCATAAAAAAAATATTAACATTAAAAAAATCCATAATTAAAATCAAACAAACTAATTAAGTAAAAAAGAAACAAAATTTGTAACATCCTACACAATTACAAATGACTGATTCATACATTCCGAGACTTTTTCATTCGTTGCCATGGCGTCGCCTCTCCTCCTAATAGTATGTTTTGTTTCTTTTAAATTCGTCCAACCAATTCATATGCTTTGTGACCTTTACAAATGAACTTCACGTTACAGTCTTACACGTAAGGGTGTTCTAAAATTCTTTGTTTTGGAAAATTTAATAACTCTGTAAATATTGATATTTAAAGAATGTAAACGTTTAATATAATTTTAAAAAGTTATCCTCCATATGTGTGTGTAAAGACACGCTGTATAAATAGTATATAAATATGTAAATCTATTTATATAAATGTATAAATACATAATCAAATAGTTGACTAACTCCAGATCGAGTACGCGGACATGTTGAAGCGTGTGGAGCCCCTGCGCAATGAACTGAAGGCTCTAGAGGACCGCGCTCAGACCAACGTGAGGGCGGGCAACGACGTGCGCGAGCTCATCGAGCAGCTGGAGAAGTCCATCGCCTCGTACAAGGAGGAGTACGCGCAGCTGATCAGCCAGGCGCAGGCGATCAAGACCGACCTCGAGAACGTCCAGGCCAAGGTGCGTATACCGTTGTCTGCGCGAGTGTACCTGTAACGTTCCAAAACTGGCCCCACTGAAGTCAGCGCCGCGAGATTTTAGCGAAACTTACAGCTAGCACATAAGTAAACTATTAGATAATAAATACAGAGGGCCAATTAAAAGTTTCCACAATTAGATAAAAAATAAAAGTATATACCGTTGTCTACGCGAGTGTACCTGTAACGTTTCAAAACTAGCCCCGGTGAAGTCTGCGCCGCGAGCCGTGCGCACGTACCGTCGAGTACAAAAATCGCTCAGCAGAACTAGTTCATGAAAAGTCTTATGTTAACAAAATAGAATCGCGACTGCATTCCGTATCAACGTGTAGTTGGAGTGAAAATTCATGCTTGTAAATTTTTATTCTTCGTTGCTGTTTAGTCCACACAAAAGCCGTCAAGAAAGCGTACAAAAATAAATGATTTAAAATAAAGCCTAAAATAATTCAATTAAACCAAATTGCTTTAAACAACGTCCATTACGTTTTAGCTTACCTTTAACGTGAAACAGTGTTCGTAGTATGTAAATATTAAAAATATTCAGGGTCTTCTTTTATGTGAAAACAAGACGGCTGGTGTTAAGTGATTTCCGCCGCCCATGGATTTCTACACCACACCACCTTTGCAAATATGTTGCAGTATCAATATCTTGCAAAGGTTGGAGCGTTGGATTCTTCACGCATTAGGCGGAACTCAAAATTATAATACTTCCACTTCAATCCGGTGTCCTGTGGGACCGTGGCTACCTACTCCGGGTGAGCCTGCCCATTTGTGCCAACAGTAATAGCTGCTACGTTGCCCTGCCATAGCGAAATTAAACTCGCATCGGCATTGTTGCACCATGCTACCTCTCAGTGATCCCTTTGACAGTGGGTTCGTTTCGAATTTTCCAGGTGGACAGGTCTATCGCGCTCCTCAAGAGCCTGGTGATCGAGCGCGAACGCTGGGAGTCCAGCTCGGAGACGTTCCGCTCGCAGATGAGCACCATCGTAGGCGACGTGCTCCTATCGGCCGCCTTTATCGCGTACGGCGGCTACTTCGACCAGCACGTGAGTTGCACTGCGCTGCGAAACTTCTATACTAGTGTTAATTACGGAGGGAAGATTAAAATAGAGTGTATGTTGATCGTTGTTGATAAATCCCTTATTGCCATACAGCTGCCAGATGTTTTTTTAATGTGAAATAGAAATTAGTCTGGCAAACAGTTGATAACGGGTTAAAGTCAAAGCTTAGACTCGCACAAGTACTTGTAGAATGTCTAAACTTTAAGCTAAAGGACGGATCAACGAAAAAATGCATGCACTCTGAAACATTCTGGAGTACGTCAATCTCAATAATTTATTATGAGGTTAAAAAAATATCAACGAATTGGAGCATTGTAACAGACCCCTGTGTTTTTTTTTATGTGGAAAGGTGACAAGCGAGCTGGCGGTTCACCTGATGTTAAGTGATAACCGCCGCCCATGACATTTGCAACACCCGTCGTGGGGTTGCAGACGCTGCTTGTCTCTTCCACCAAACCAAATGTAACACTGCCACTTCACAGCGGTCTTCTATGACTCGTTACTTCCCCGAAGGAACTTGCAAGACCTCTGGCTGCTGCTGATTTTATACCAAAATAAGTTTGTATAATTGCATCACAAAAAAAAAATAACAAGACCGCAGAGTTTCTTGCCGGTTCTTCTCCGTTCAGGACTAGTTTAGTGAACCGGTGGTAGTATTTTTGTTGACGTTCAATAAGAGCTTAAGTTAAGCCTATATTGAACAAAGATACTTCGACTTTGAACTGTTGCGTGGGCAG